TTCATAGATTAATGCTGTGTTGAAATTATGAATGAAAGTGTGTGTTAATCTTCTTTCTTCTGTAGACAACTATTATTTTTTTTTGTTTGCTCTTGCTTTTTGTTTTAATTTTTCTCTTCTTTATGTATTAATGTTGTGTTGAAGTTATGAATGAAACTGTGTGTTAATCTTCTTTCTTCTGCAGACAACTATTATTTTTTTTTTCTTGCTCTTGCTTTTTGTTTTTTTGTCAAGTTCCAACATGATATCAGAGCAGCATCAAGGATCTTAAGGGACCCTTGTAGCACAAACAATATCATTTCTTCTTATTTTTTTCTTCCTCAAATAGTCCCTAGCTATCATCCTTCTTCTCTCACCTGAAAATCTCATTGTCTTTACTATGGCATTATCTAGCTTTAATGTAACAGTAACTCCTATATGCACAGGAGAAAATTATGTGATATGGGCTGTGAAGATGAAAGCTTATTTTAAGGCTTTTGATTTATGAGAGATGGTGGAGGTGGGATGTGATCCTCTAGTGATGAGACATGCTAATCCTACCATTGCTCAACTTAGACAGCATAATGAAGAGATAGCAAGGAGATATAAAGTACTTTTTTGCATCCAATCTATTGTATCGGATGCCATTTTCACAAGAATCATGACTTATGATAACTCAAAAAAAACTTGAGATCGGTTGAAGAATGAGTTCCATGGGAGTGAAAAGACTTGGCAGATGCAGGCTCTCAACTTACACAGAGAATTTGAGATCCTTAGAATGAAATGCGATGAGACAATTAAAGAGTATTCTGATAAAATCATGGAGCTTGTTAACTAGTTAAGGTTGCTAGGAGAGGATCTATCCGAGAGGAGAATTGTAAACAAAGTCTTGGTTAGTCTTCCAGAGAAGTTTAAGGCCAAGATTTCATGACTAGAAGACTCAAAGGATCTCTCTCAACTTACGGTTACTGAACTAGTGAATGCTCTCCAAACTCAAGAACAAAGACGTTGCATTCGAAATGATGGACAAATGGAAGGTGCTTTGATGGTTAGAAGCCATGGCAAAGTAATAAGCAACAGTAAGAGAAGATATGACCATGACAAGAAAGAGAAAGACAAAAGAAACAATGATGAAAAACAAGGAAAAGGTAAAGCCAAATTCCAACCATGTTCATATTGCAAGAAACGTAACCATTTAGAAAAATTTTGTTGGTTTTGCCACAATGTCAAATGCAGATATTGCCAGCAGATGGGACACGTTGAGAAAGTTTGTAAGGCTAAGGCAAATAATAATGAAGAAAAGGTTGCTGTAGTGGAGAAAAAAAAGATTGTGATGAAGCTCTGTTTATGATTAAGATAATAGAGAAACACACAAGGAATGATGTTTGATTGATAGATAATGGTTGCTTCAATCATATAACCGATGATAAAGAGATTTTCATTGTGCTTGATAGTAGCTTTCATTCAAAGGCTGAGATAGGAAATGGTGATTTCATACAGATTGTTGGGAAAGGATTCGTAGGCGTACAAACAACTTCAAATGTCAAAACAATCTCCAATGTTTTATATTCCACTGAAGTGAGCCAAAACTTATTAAGTGTTGGACAGTTGCTTGATGATAAGTACTCACTATGGTTCAAAGATAAGTCATGCACAATTTATGATCCAATTGGTATTGAAATAATCACTGTTGTTATGAAAAATAAACGTTTTCCTATCAACTTTAGAAAAAATGAGTTACTGTTTATCAATGTTGTGCTAATGATGCAATACTTTGGCATAAACAATTGGGACATGTCAATTATGGGTCCTTAAAGCTTATGGCTTCAAATAATCTAGTTGATGGATTACCTATTATTGGAGTTATTGATAATATTTGTGAAATCTGTCAATTTGGTAAGGAGATAGAAATTCATTTCCTAAAAGTAGTGATTGGAGAACAAAGACAAAACTTCAACTAATTCACTCTGATGAAAGAGGACCCATGAGAACTCCCTCACTCAATGAGAGCTTATATTATCTGATATTTATTGATGATCTAACCAGATTTTGTTGGGTTTATTTCATGAAGAAAAAAGCTAAGGTGTTTGACAAATTTATCAAATTTAAAGCCATGGTGGAAAATGAAACAAATTTGACAATGAAGATATTAAGAACAGATAATGGCCAAGAATTCTGCTCCAAGGAATTTGAAGATTTTTTGACACGTTATGGTATTAAACATCACAGAACAGTGTCGTATTCACCCCAACAAAATGGGGTTAGTGAGAGGAAAAACAAGACACTGGTTGAGATGGCACGTTGCTTGTTGCTTGGGAAAGACCTTCCAACTAAATTTTGGGCAGAGGCAGTAAATGTTGCAGTGAATTTGCTAAACTTTCGACCAACTAAGGCCTTAGATGCAGTGAGTCCATATGAAGTATGGAATGGAGAAAAACCATATGTTGCACACTTATGTGTATTTAGTTCCATTGGCTACGCTAAAGTCCCTGATGAAAAACGAAAAAAGTTTGATTCAAAGTCACAAGTTGCTATTCATTTGGGATTTAGTGATACTTCAAAGGGCTATAGATTATTCAATGTCCACACAAATAAAGTGTTTATCAGTCGTGATGTTAAATTTGATGAGGACCATAAATGGAATTGGGAGAAAGGCATTGTTGAAAGCTCAGGAAACTTCAATATCATTGCTAATGTATTACCACAAAATTTCAATGATGATGAAGAAGTTATTGAGGATGAGAATCTTACTGTGAGAGGTACCAGGTCACTCCAAGACATTTATGAGAGGTGCAGTTCAATTATCATAGAGCCAAACTCATTCACAAAAGCTTCTAAAGACAAGAGATGGCTACAGGCAATGCATGATGAGATTGAGATAATTAACAAGAACCAAACTTGGCATCTTGTAGATAAACCAACAAACCAAAAAGTGATAGGGGTCAAGTGCGTCTTCAAGACTAAACTTAATGCAGATGGAACGGTTAACAAATACAAGGCACGTTTGGTAACTAAAGGGTATGCTCAAGAATATGGGGTAAACTTTTTTGAGACATTTGCACCAATGGCTAGACACGATACAATTCACCTTCTAACAGCTTTGGTAGCCAAAGAAAGTTGAAAGATCTGGCACTTAGATGTGAAATCTGCATTTTTGAATGGTTTCATAACAAAAGATGTTTACATTGAGCAACCTAAAGGTTTTGTAGAAAAAGGAAGTGAGAACAAAGTGTGCAGACTTGTTAAAGCATTGTATGGTCTTGAACAAGCACCAAAGGCCTGTTATGAACAAATTGGCAATTATTTAAGGAGTAAAGGATTCAATCGAAGTGTAAATGAGCCAACTTTGTATGTACTAAGCACAAACGGCTTTGTGAATTTATTGGTCTCACTATATGTTGATGACTTGCTGGTTACTAGTCTAGATAGTTATGTTGTGGATGACTTTAAAGTGAAAATGAAGCAAGAGTTTGAAATGACAAATCTTGGTGAGATGACATTTTTCTTAGGGATGGAGTTCATTCAAAACCCAGGTTATATTGGCATTCATCAGACCAAGTATGCTAAAGAGCTTCTTAAACGATTTAAAATGGAATCATGCAAAGCTATTGACACTCCAATTGTTACAAGAAGCAAATTATGCAAAGGGAATGGAAGTTCTCAAGCTGATAGTTAAAATTACAGGAGCTTAGTTGAATGTCTACTTTATCTAGTAGCAACAAGACCACTTATTATGTATGCAGCTAGTGTTTTTTCTCGATTCATGCAAAATCCATCTGAACTTCATCTCATTGCAGCCAAACATGTACTTAAGTACATCAAGGGAACTTATGATTATGGTCTCAAATATTTCAAGAATGAAAGCAAGGAACTTCTCGCTTATTGTGATGGTGATTGGGCTGGTAGTTTAGAGGACTCTCGAAGCACCACTAGATATTGTTTTTCCTTTGGTAGTGTTGTTTTTACATGGAGCTGCAAGAAACAAGAGGTTGTTGTGCAGTCCTCAGCAGAGGCTGAGTATATTGCTGTAGCTTTAGTTGCAAATCATGCAGTTTGGTTAAGAAAGATGCTTTATGATCTTGGTTTTGAGCAAAATGGAGGAACCAAGCTTCTGATTGACAACCAATCAGCACTTGTGATTGCCAAAAATCATGTATATCATGGTCGTACAAAGCATATTAGAGTTAAATACCATGCTATACGGAATGCAATCAAAGAAGGTGAAATCTATATGAAACATTACTTCTCAAAGGATCAATTGGCAGACATCATGAGAAAGGGTTTAAACAAAGATCAGTTTGTGGCACTAAGAGATAGATTGGGGGTTACCAAGCTCAACCTCAAGGAGGTGTGTTGAAGTTGGAGTTAAGCTTGGAGAGTTGTTGGTAGTTAATTTACTTTTGTTTTGTGGCCATGATAGCCATTACTCTTATACAGTTTTCTTTTTTATGTATGTGAAGTTCATGGACAGTAGTTATTTGTTAGTTTGTAGGTTTGCACCATGAACTGACAGTTAAATTCAGTTTTATTTTTTTTTCTTTATGTATTAATGTTATGTTGAAATTATGAATGAAAGTGTGTTAATTTTCTTTCTTCTGTAGACAACTTTTATTTTATTTTTTTGCTTGATCTTGCTCTCTGTTTTCTTGTTAAGTTCCAACACCCACATCCACTAAACCTTAACGCTTTAATGGCCATAGGCCAAAATGCAACTTCATCCGTAAGTCAACTATTGGTTAAATGTCACGAGATGTACGAATGAATTATGGTGGTGAACAAATGGAATCAGATACAAGAAACAATTAAGGATTATCGTTTCCTTTTGACCAAAGTGTGAAGACAAGCCCTATCAGAAAGAAAATGTATGATGACAAGTTTGCCACGCAATAGAGCCGCCGAGGTCTTATCTTTGTCAACTTTGGGCAGCAACAATCCCCTAGAACCAAAACGACTGTCAGTTTGAAAACCCTTACGGCTTTCACAGTCAACAACCTTTTCCTCAGCTTGTGCTAGCTTTATAAGCGTGTGCAGATCCATGGACAAAACGCGTACCCCCTCCCTCTGTTTTCTCCTAACAATATCATTCCCCTTTAAAACTCTCCTATCAAAGCTCCATTTCTTTCCCAGAACCAATGTCTTCAAAACCAGAAGAAGATTCAGATTCAGATAACTTTGATCGTCTACCGGATGCTCTTCTTCTCTTCATCTTCAACAAATTGCAAGATGCCAAATCTCTTGCCAATTGTCTTTAGGTCTCAAAGCGTTTCTTTGCCCTTATTCCCTTCACCGACATCATTTTTGTCTCAATCCCAACTCCCCACCACCTGTCAAAACCATGCACAGCGGCTTCTTATATTAATACCTTGAGACTTCTTGTCCATAGCTTGTTCCTCAAACCACTAAAATGTTTCCATCCTTCTATGGCTCCGAAGTCAGCATCAAGGTCATTCGATAGTTCACATCATCAGCCAAATGGAGTTTTGAAGAATTTCAAGGAAATAAAATCATTGCATTTAGAGCTTCCATCACATGGGGATGACTTGGGGTCAGATTGTGGAGCTTCTTTCCTTCAATGGAAAGCAGAGTTTGGTAGCAACTTGCAGACTTGCATTATTCTTGGAGCGACATCTTTTGAAAGAAGTAACAAATTTTCGTCATCAAGCTTTTGCTTCCAACTAAAAGAGCAGGAATGCATGGAGCAGACATTAACCGATGATGAGCTGAAACTACGAGTTATATGGACCATCTCTTGCTTGATTGCGGCATCAACTAGGCATCATTGGTTCAAGAAAGTTTTGGCTGACCATCCAATTCCAATGCTTCAAAGACTGCTGATTTCTGATGCAAATAAGCAAGGGAAGCTTCATATGGGAACAGAAGAGCTGGTTCAGCTTAGGAATTCCATGAACTCACAACAAGAAACATTAGAATCATCAACATTGGAGAGGACCCCAGTTCCAGAATTGAGCATGAAGCTATGGTACTTGCCCGTGCTGGAGTTGCCAGAGTCAGGGTATGTGATGAGAGGGGCGACACTTGTCCTTACCAGACCTGTTGCGGGGACGACTGAAAGGGGGAATAGTGATTTAACAGTGGGGAAGTTGGACTTGGAGGGAGATGGGAAGGCTTTCAGCGAAGCTCTAAGGGCGATGATCAAAGTGAAGAAGAGTTACGTGATGACAATGAGTTCCTTTTGAGATGTAAAATAATATATGCAACGCTAAAGATTCCATTCTTAATACAGAGTTGCAATTCAAACATCTCTTTTCTCTATATTTCTCCAAATATAATCCAAAAATATATTAATGCAAATTGCTAATACCTGTTTTTCACCTATGCTTATCCTAGAACTTATCCATCCAAACAGTCAAATAGTAACATAACTCCTTATGCCTTCGAAAAGTTAAAAATAAATAAATAAACAAGAACTGTTAACCTACCTATACACCAAATGAATGTTTAATGCATGCCTAATGACACCCATAACATAGAAACCTAATCTCAATGACCATTCATTAATGTCATGGATGAGTCTTTGCCAACAATTTGGCTCATCTTTCTTTAGCTTGACTTTTATCATAATATTTTTGTTAGGCATTATCATTTTGGATTGTCTAAGTAGAATTAATTAGAAGATGTAGTTATCATCTTTGGTGCTAAACTCCTATTAAATTGTTGCACATATCTATCTGATTATAAACTTGCCTAAAAGAACACTACTTTTGTGTTCTAACTTAGCATTAATATATTTTTTGGATTATCCTAACATATCTATCTGATTGTTGCACCCATAACTAGCATTGTTGCTAATGCTAGGTATGCTTGGATATAAACTTTTGTTCTAAACTTGTATGCTACTATAATCCAAAAGTTACTATAATCCAAAGCTACTATAAACTTGTATGCTAGGTATGCTTTTGCTCAATCCTAATATAAACTTGCTAACACAAGTTGCTAATGCTAGGTATGCTTGGATAATCAGATAGAACTCCTGTTTTGGCCATGCTTTCTCTCCATTTAATCGCCAAATAAATAAAAGGAAAAAGGAACAAAATGAGGAATGAATTTCAAATTTCAATATATGAGTGTCTTTGAACTAGTCTATGCAGACTTTGAAGAATGCAACATCAGCAGTTTCTCAACAATGGAACACATCCGCGTCATGGGATTGAGCAAAAGCCAGCAAATATTTAGCAAAACTTTGTCCTACCATGAACTTGTCTAGCCTAACATTCATAGTAGCCTATACTAGGTATGCTTGGATTTCTTTTTCTTCTTTAAAGGTTGTTCCCCAGCAGGTGCTGCAATATATTCTTCTGCATTGATATTTTGGAAAGATTTTTGCTTCCCAAACTCCTTGGCCTTTTGCTGCAGCGGAAACCAAGGTGGGATTTGTTAGAATATACTTGCTGATTTTAACAAAAATGAAAAGAGATCTTATGAATTAAAATTACCTTCAATGACATGGTAAGGGCAGCAACATCTTCCTTATCATTCTCTGACTTTCTAGAATCTTGCTTTACAGGTTCCTGCAACAGGCAAACAGGTTTTTTAGAAATAAATAAATAAAACAAAACAAAACAAAAATGGATGGACACAGGTGCCTGTGCCTTGCGGACTTCAAAATAGAACCTTGGGAGGAACAAATGATTCTTCTCTTTTTCTTTTGTTTTCAGCTGTTTTCTGCGCCTGCTTCTCCTGCTTCTCTTGCCACTTCTTAGCTAATTTCTTTTTCTCACTCAAGAAATATTCTCCAGATTCCATTTCTTGATCAATCTGGAAGATATCATCAAGTGTCGCATACCAGTACATGTTAGTTTGTTTTCCACAAACATCCAAAAAAAAAAGAAAAGAAAAAGAAAAAGACTGCATTCCACACATTTAGCTCAAAGAAGAAATTGTAATATTGTATGCATTCTAATGTTCTGACACAGTAAGTGAGAAAATCAGGACAGCCTAAAGGGTTAAAAGGGGTGGGGAGAATTCTTGCTTCAAATACGTATCCCAAGAAAAAGAATAGTTTATCTTCCTTTTCTATTCAGAAAGAAAGGGAAAGGACAAATCAACTACTTACAGAAATGAATGCTAAAAGCAAAGTAAGAACTACTCATGGTTGACTCTATATTCACCTTCCAAATAGAATAAATTTCCAAGTCCTATGTAGATCAGTTTACATACACCTATAAGTTTGACAAAAGTTGATCAACCAACAAGCTACTGATAAGATATAATCCATTTTGAAAATAGAATCAGCTAAAAGCTTTCATGGCAACCCATGGCTTGCACAAAACCTTGGTTGTCTCTCTCCCACTCATCTGTGCTAAAACCCCTTACAGTTAAAACAACTAAATAATTTACGAGTAAAGCTCTAACAAGCTAAGAAAAAAATTTTACAAATTCATTTTGAAAACAGAATCAGCTAAAGGCCATCATCACAACCCATGGTTTTTACATAATTTCTTGGGATTTTCTCTCCAACTCTCCCATGCTGAAATCCCCTCACACTAAAAGCAGGTGGAGGCATCTAGATGATTGACTCATAATTAAGATTTTGATCAGCAGTTCTTAAAGCAAATATATTCAGCTAAGCAAAACAAGATTATGCTACACAACTACTATTGTCTGTTCTAAAACAAACAAAAGTTAAAAATAAAAACTGAACCGGAGAACAATGTTTTGGAGAAAAACCTTACTTAACAGACAAGGCAAAATTTGGTCCTAATACAATCAAAGAGACAAAAGGCAAACAAGTTACCAAAGGAAACCAAAAGAGACAAGCAGCTTTCTTACCTTGCTAGGTTGCTGAGGAGGAGGGAAGGGTGTATATGGTTTCTTCTCTTTACTCTTAACCTTCTTTGTTTGAACATTTTTCCTGGAAACATTATTTCGTAGTTAAAAGAACATGTAACAGAACGGAGCATGAAAATGATTAAAATGTTAGAACATACATGAACAGGATTGATATCTTACTTCTTAAACTTTGGAAGAAACCTGTCCCAGTTTTCATTTTTAAGGGCTGGATCCTTCTCAAGTTCTTTCTTCATCATGAGAATCTAGTTAAGAAAGGAAGGCCAGAGAAAATGAAGATGCGGTAAGGCAGCAAATGAAAGGAGATGGGTGTCAGTGAGTGCTCATAGAATTTTAAATCACATCTATACTGACATAATTTCAAGCAACACCAAGTAAAACCAAAATTGCAAGTCAAATCTGCAGCACCTTGATATGGTATACAGGATGCATTTTATTTTCTATGCAGTCTTCCACAATCCTCCTGACTTGTTTTAAACCTTTAAATGAACCCATAGCAGCGACAGTGTTTCCCTATTCCATCATTAGCCAGATGGAAAACGTTTTCAGTTTGTGGTTCTCCATTTCAAACACAGATAAAAAAAAATGCAGGTCAACAACCAAAAATACAAGGAGCGTTAGCAATTACCTGAACAAGAATGTAGCAGCTTGTCAATATTTCAAGCGCCTGCATCCAGTAAAATAAGGGAGGAGTAAGGCAGTGAAAACAATTTCAGAAATTTCTTGCAACACACCATCTCGTAGTCAATGGTATATACTCCTGCCTCAACATAAGCTGCACCTTTCCTTCCGGAGATTATTTCAGAAGCTTGTCAAGGAATCAGTCTAAGAATGAATACACACCTTCAAAGTCGAAGAATTGGGCCCCACAAGACGCTGCCTTCTTTTAACAAACCGTTCCTGTTAAAAGAAAATATTTAGACACCATAATGACAAATATAAAACGTTTCCTAATATTTGCTGATTTTTCAAGAAACTCTCAGTAGACCTAAGGTGTTAAAATCAGGATACTATTTTAGGATTGTTTAAGGGCCTAGGCATTGAACCACAAAATTGAGTCTACTAATCACTAGCTAGCACTGATGTACAAGTAGTTATAAATGTTTCACTTTGAATACTAAATAGCGTATTCCGGGAAGGCTAGATTGAATGAATAGAAGTTCAGCATGCATAAACAACTAATATCTAGTTTCTGCCTTCAGTATGTTACTAACAAAACAGTTCAAAATAGCTACGTCAAAGATAATGTAATTGTGTCTATGCAGTATGCTGGTGCCTGTGAAAAGGCATATACACATGTACTTATATACCTACATAGATACATGTGTGTATGTTCTAACAACTATTGAATGAATAACTGAAACAAAGATGAATAGAAAACTTAGAAAATCTTTCAGACCATACTCATAAGATTATACGATCCAGATTGGAATTTAACAACTATGGGTTGGACCATGTTTTGCATTGCCCACACAGCCATCAAATGATAAATATATCACAAAAGAATGATCTTACATCAATCTATATGAAGATACATAAAATGTATCAAACTAAAATAGCATAACTATAGACTTGATGTTTGTGCATAATTAGCTTCAAAGAATAAAAGCTAAGGCACCCTGATATTATGATCTTAATTTGATGGGGCATTATGTAGGCAAGAACTCTTCTTATTGAGTGCAATGTTTCAATATAGTTGGCTCTAAATAATGCTAAAAGAATGCATGTTACAAGAATTAAGACTTAGGTGGTTCCAGAAATATAAGATCCATTGATCAGCATGGGACACTCAAGTAAGTGAAAATATTAAAAACACTCGAAGCTAGACAGAAAATTCCAGCCAACTTCTCAAGCATCCCCTTGTATGCCAATAGAAACCATTACCAGATTTCAGAAAGTAAATCGGTTAAAGTTATAATCTTTTAGATTAAGAAATTTAAGAAATACATACCTTATTTCGCACCAAGCTTCCAATTTTGATTATGTCACATTGCATTTCATCATCCAGTATTTTGATTGCCTAAGTAAAATAAACAGTAAGAACTATATTCAAACTACTAAACTCAAAACCTAGCAATCTGCACTATGGAAAAACAACCTTCATACAAATGGTTTCAAGTACTGAGCAAAAACTATTCCAGTGAAACAGTAGAAAAATTAATGAGAAGTAATCAAGCATTTAATTAGTTTGTCATTGATGAAAACACAAGCCTGGTTGACAAGTCCACCTGAGGTGCAGGAACACTTCTCGATAGAAGCTTGATGAGATCCCTGGCTTTGATAATAATATAAGGGTCCCTAGTTTTTCTTGTTGTTGAAACTGTCATGGACCCTTCAACCTGAACAGCAATTAAATACACATCACATGGCAAACAACACAGATGCATATATGAAGAAAATAATAGTACATTGAAAATAATCAATTTAATCTGACTTTCAAAGAAACAAGTGAAACAAAAATCTCTCGCAGTCAAGCATTTATCAAATATTTCAAGAAAGCTGACACTTGAATCTTTTGAAGAATGCAATCTGATTTACATGAAAATACATAAGAATTATATCAAATTATGATTGAGACAGAAGTTGATCCATCACTCTGACAGCTTTCTCAAGACAAGGAACAATTAGCAGGGCTTCAAGACACCAGAATGTCTTTGTATCAAGAAGAACAAGTGAAATGAAGTGAAAGGCGTAGTTCCTTTTCTTCTAGGGAACAAGAACGGAGTGAAAGATGTTGTCCCTGTAAATCATTTGTAACCCAATTGTATGCATGATTATTCTATTAATATACCAGCAATTACACCAGACCTCTTTTATTTTGCATGTTTGCATATCTTTTTACTAATGAAGGCAAAATTGTAAAAGCATTAAGTAAATTACATCTATTTCCTTGCTTTCCACTACTCAAGCAAACAAGATCAGTGCTATATCCCAATAGTTCATTTCCACTCACACTTTTAGAACACTTAAGAAGGGATCCATTCAACCAACCATAGTGTTACAGTCCATGGTGTTCCACTTTAAAAGCGAACAAAATAAAAACCACCAGTTTTTACTTTAACCAAACTAAAATCTAGAATACAAAAGATCACTAGATTAAATCATTAAATAGCAAAACATGACCAAATTTGGTAGGACTTCGAAGCTTACCAAGTTGAGCTCAGCAGCAATACAATATTCTTTCAAAGCAGATTTAACCTTTGGCCAAGCTTCTTGTAAGTATTTCTCTTAATTAAGACCAAAAAAAAAAAAAAGAAAAGGACCAAACGTAAGTGCAATTTCCAACTAGTAATAAAAGCAAAAAATGGTGAGGAAGTTAGTTAATTACCTCGGTAGCGAGGGAAGATAGTGGAGAAAGAGCTGACTTCGAGCAACCCATCGGGGTTCCAAGAAGAGTCGAACTTGTCTATCCTCCAACGGTCAATGTTTGGGTCTTCGTCCCAAGGCTTTGGTTTGTCGTGTTTTCCTTTATGCTTCTTCTTCTGTTGCAGATTCACTTCGTCTTCCACATTCTCCTGCTCCATCCTAACCTTCAAAAATCCTAAGAGAGAGAAGAATGGGGTTTAAGCGTGTCGTTCGCTTTTCAGGCAAATTAAAAAATTTGTACTTTTATTTTTGCTTCCAATTCCTATTTAATGTTATCCTTAGAACATAACAATTGAGTGACTGAAAAGACAAGTTTTACTCAACATCTAGAATAACAAATTGTTCAACAAAATGAAGAAACAAATTGCAGAAAAATGAAGCTGAAGAAGCAACTACAAACCTTGAGAAGAGAAAGAAGCTGGCACCAAACTGAAGAAGCGACAGCTGCAGTTCTCGCCAACTCACGCCCCAGTTGGAGGCCGCTGGGCTGGGGTGGCTCTGCTTGGGGAAGGAAGGGTTTGTTTGTATTTTTGTTTTTTGCTTTTGCCACTTTCTTTGGAGGTTGCTGGAAGAAAGCGCAAACAATTATACAAAAGAACCCGAAATGCTGTTCTGGGTGGGCAAAATTTGGTCATGGGCTTTTGGACTTTTGAAAATTTCAGATTGATTGCCAAATTTCAAAATTTAAAGAAGCCCAATTACGTAAAGTGATCCATCCGCTTAAATAATGACCACATTTAATATGATGTTACGGTTTAACCTGAACCTAATACATTTTAATAAAAAAAAATCAATCGATGTATTATGTTGTATTTGATTAATTAAAATAAATTGTACAATCTTTGAGATGATGTATTTTTTTATAAAATTAGGGTATACTCGTTTGTGCAATGCACTCGTGTAATATGGATAAAACAATATTTGTTAAAATATGTCTATATGTCAATAATCATATAGTGTTTATTGCACATAATTATTTATAAAGCTATTTATCAACTACAATATATACAGAAAAGATCAAAAGTTACACATTTGTTTAAGCAGTAATCTATTTAAGAGTTGTAAATGTAAACTGTAATTGAGGTTATTGTCATCAAAAGTTGCATAATTATTTAAAGTGGCAATCTATTTATGTCATAAAGTCATAAGGAGTTGTAAATGTAGGTTTTAGTTTGCAACCATATAGTTATGACCAAAACTTTAGAAAGAAGGTTGCAGTTAGGATTGAGGTCTTTCAAGTTGTTTTTTGGAAGAGTAACCTCCGTTGAAGTAAAATAATTCATTATTACATATATTTTGATGTAAGAAGATGAAATTATATTGAGTTGAAATGTTTTATACCTAATTTTGTATTTTTTTTTAATTGGTGATTCTTCTCCATGATTGGTTGTTGCTAGCTTTGAGGTGTTGAGTCTAGAAATAACTCTCTTGGTGATGGTGAAAGTTACTCTTGAGAATCATCAAATGTGATCAGAAGCAGTGTGGATTGAGATGGAGTAGTAGCACATTGTAGACACCCATTTTCTTTTAAAATCATTTTTATTTTAATTTTGTAATTTGTTTTTATTTTATATTTTTTTATTTTTATCTTTAATCATTTAGGTCTTTATCTAACCTAACTTAGGGTTTAGTCTTTAAGGACATTTTTGAACCTTGTGGTTAATAAAGGAGGAAAGCCCAATGGCTAGGCCCAAAAATAGTTTTAATTAACTAATCAAGCCTAAAAACGGATTAAACAAATATTAAAGTAAAAGACTATGATTAAAACAAACTTAACTCGAGAACATTATGGAAAATAAAAAAAATAGAAAAAAAAAAGAACAAGCAAAAGAGTAATAGCCAATTGGGCATGGTTTCGTCACCATGCCCAGTAATAGTGCGCATGGACACCCTACCCAACACTAGAATATCTCACTCAATGGAGCAAGGTAGAAGGGTGAATTGGTTGTTTTGCCATCCTTCCCCTTCAATAGGAGTGTAAAAACCCACGATCCTCAAATTAATATGGAGGCCTTTCGAAAACAAAAAGGAAAACCTTAAGAAGTTTTTAGAAAAAACAAAAACCCTAGAACTAGATTATTTGAAAAAAAAAAACAAAAAGAAACCCTTAGGTTTTTTAGCAACCTTACACTATAATACACGCACAAGTAGAAGAAAAAGAAGTAACAAAGTAAAAAAAAAAAAGCAAAAGGAAAAAAGTGTTCGAGAAAAGGAATAGAAAAGGATTTTACTTTGTTTTTTTGGGATGGTTTTGAAGTAGGGTAAAGGGTTGAGTGTGAAAGGGAGGTAAGTAGAATCGGTAGTTAAGGTTCTGTTGTAGAGAGAAAGGAGAACTTTTCAGTTAAAGAGAGACAAAGAAAGGGGAAAATGAAGAGAAAGAGTGAAAAATAAGTTTAAATATGTAAGGTTTTGGGAGGCTTGAGTGGCAAAACAGTCTCGTTTTGTTGAGGTGATATTTGAAGGAGTAACTTTTAAATGACACTATTTAAAGAGGAATCAAGACTCTTCCTTGTGCACTGAATGGTGTATTCCCACCCCTTTAACAGGATCATGGGTGTAAAAACCTGTAATCTTCATATTAAAATGGAGCCATTTCAACCAAAAAAAAAAAGAAAACCTTAGGAAATTTTTGACAAAAATAGAAACCCTAGAACTAGATTATTTGAAAAAAACAAAAAAAAAACAAAAATAAACCCTTAGTTTTTTTAGCAGCCTTACACTATAATACACACACAAGCAGAATAAAGAAAAGCAACAAAGCAAAAAAAAAAAACAAAAGAAGTGTTTGAGAAAGGGAATAGAAAAGGATTTTACTCTTTTTTTTTTGGCTGATTTTGCAGTAATGTAGAAGGTTGAGTGTGAAAAGGAGATAAGTAGAATTGGTAATTAGGGTTCTGTTGTAAAGAGAAAGTAGAGGTTTTTAGTTAAAAGAGAGAATGAAAGGGGAAAATGAAGAGAAAGAGTGAAAAACAGGTTTGAATATGTAAGGTTTTGGGAAGAGTGAAAAAGAGGTTTGAATATGTAAGGTTTTAGAAGGCTTGAGTGGCAAAACAGTATCGTTTTGTTGAGTTGATATTTAAAGAAGAAGCAATTCTTAAAAAACACCGTTTAAGGAGGAATATGCGACAACCATCTGGTTTTGTTGATCAGAATAATCCAACTTTCGTTTGTAAATTGCGAAAGGCAATTTATGAACTTAAATAGGCACCACGAGCTTGGTACACTGAGTTAAAAAGGCTTTTTACTATCTTATGGCTTTGTTAACTCACGAAGTGACGCCTCATTCTTCATTTATCATAACAATGCCATTACATTCTATTTTTTGGTCTATGTAGATGATTTAATTGTCACTAGCAATGACAACAAATTTCTTCAATGTTTCTTGCAAGCTTTGGCCACTTGGTTTTTTGTCAAAGATCTTAGTAACCTTCATTATTTCCTTGGTATTGAGGTACTTTTGAAAAATTTTGGTCTTCTTCGTACTCAACATAAGTACATCCATGACATACTAAAACGCACAAATATGGTCGGAGCCAAGGAATGTACCACACCTATGTCCTCTAGTCAATCCCTTCAGCTTCATGATGGCTCTCCACCAACAGATGCAACTAAGTTTCACCAGGTAATTGGCACTTTCCAATACTTATCACTCACTTGGCCTAATGTCTCTTATGTAGTCAACAAGTTGGCTCAGTTCATGCATTCCCCTACTGAGACTCATTGGTCTGTAGCCAAGCAGATCCTACTCTACTTAAAATACACAATTTATCATGGTCTCTTCCTTCAATGCCACCAATAACTTTGTGTCAATGCCTTCACAAATGCAAACTAGGAGGGCAATCGTGATGATAGCACATCCACATCTGTGTACAATGTTTATTAGGGTGGTAATGCAATTTCTTGGTGTTTTAAAAAGCAAAAGTCTATTGCTCATTTGTCAACAGAAGTGGAATATTATGCTCTTGTTTCTTGTACTGCTGAGGTTCTTTAGATTCAAAACTTACTTCGTGAGTTGCATGTTAAGTGTTTATCATCTCCACAAATTTTCTGTGATAACATAGGAACAACATATCTCTCTGTTAATCCTATGTTTCACTCTCACGTGAAACATATTTCCATTGACTACTATTTTGTTCGTTATCATATGGCTTACAGGTCCTTTATTGTGTCCTACATTTCATTAAAAGATTAACTTGCTGGTGCTCTTACAAAGCCCTTATCATCCATCTTTTTTTGCCAACTATGATCCAAGATCAGTATCTCTAATGGGAGCACCATTTTGCTAAGGATGTTTGAAAATGTCTATCAGATAAAATCCTATCAGCAAGAAATTCAAAAATTGTGAAAATATCAAATTCTTAGCCACTTTGCCTTGCTAATAGATTTAATTTCTCCACAAATCTCTCTTGCTCTTGTTCCAACAACCTCAACAATTTGATAGCTATTTTATCTCTTAAGATCTTGTCTTGCAACAGTTTTTTCTTATATTTAGGACTCTTTGAAAAAATGTCAGATAAACTTGTTCAACTTTATATATATTTTGGTTGTAAATTAAAAAGTTAATACAACCAAAATTATTTAGATCATTCAATCTTGATAATATAAACCTCAATTGCATTAATAAATATAATATTTTTATTTTTTTATTTATATGTATGGTATTTATAATTAATTTTAAATTTTTTATATGATATAATATTCAATATTTAAAAATAAAATTTAAATACATGATATGTATCAATTTAACACTTATGTATAATTTATGGCATAATATCTAAAAAAGCTCCTAACTATCTAAGAAAATTTAAATAAGTTTTTATACTTTTATTACATTCAATCAAGTCCTTATACTCTTATTTTGAACCAAACAAGTTTTTGTACTTTTATTTTAAATCAAACAAACCTTTATGAGCAATTGTTGATTTAGTCAAAATGTTATTTGTTATTCTATTTAATGCGGCACTAATGTGACATGTTAATATATTATAATTATTGTTGATGCGGTATGACATACCATGATCAATGATGATGTGACATACTATTTGACATAATAACATAATCATGTGATATTTTTTACCTTACATATCAACATTAGATCAATACCATATGGATATAAAATGATAAATGAGATTTTGACTAATGGTAATTAATAAATAATTGGTCATAAGAGCTTAGTTGATTTTAAATGAAAATTTAGAGATTGATTGAATGCAATAAAAGAATAATAACTATGACTTATTTGAGCATTATGTCATAATTTAATTTCTTTATATGCTAAAGCACGGGCCTCCTTTAAAATCTTGATATCGAATTGTGAAATAAATCTAACATATTAAAAGATTGAATTGGCCTAAAAAATTTTAAAAAAATCCAAATGAAAACAAAAAAGAGAAAGCACACAAAATCATATAATCCCTGTTACTGTGAGTGATCTGGCCATTTTCCTACTTGAAACATTTGGCTTAAATAATTGGAGAACATCAACTAGTAGAGATCACAAAAAATCATGTTTTCCATCTCTAAATCAAAAGCCATTCCAGATCTTAAATGGTTCTTGAATAGAGAAACAATGCCACTATGAAAATAGCAAGAGAGGAGCAACCATACGTATTTGCTTCGTACTTGTTGTTTATCAAATTATCGTAGCATTCTTAATATGAAACCAAGAAATAAGCAAAGCATTATCCAGTATCAAGGTCATTTAAATCTTGTGCATTTTTTTAGATAGTAGTAGAGTACTTGGCAAATAAACCAAATCCATATCTTTACATCTTTTAGAGAATGGAGATTTGAGGAAAAGATTGAAAATGATAAAATCTACACATACTAGTAATGGTATAGGAAACAAAGATTCCAAAACAAAAATAATGTGCTAATATTTCCCATAATGTCAGCCAACACCACAATTTCACTACAGGAGTAGATTTAAGAGACTCATGGGTAAAATTTGATATGAAACAAGAGCAAAAATGAAATTACAGTACAATGCAAAGGAACTATATTATCGAACAAGGAACAGGGATAAAAGCTAGAAAATAGAGTTGATGACAACAAAGTTGTATTCACATAATAACATCAGTAGTAAATACAACACTTAAATATAAGACATACATATTAAACACTTGTAAAAGCAAAAGACAAGTGTTTAATGCAAAGCTAACTCAAACATACAAGCCAACACATCATACACATGATAGCTAGTATTTTCTAATTCAAAGTACAGCGAAGTAAATTAAAATTAAAGTCAAAATAAATATTATTTAAGGCAAGTATTATCTCAACACTCTTCCATAATACTTGCATCATAAACATTTAGCTTGGTTCTTAAGTATTCAAACTTTGGCCTTTGAAGAGTTTTGGTCATGGTTTTAGCTAACTGATCGCCAGAACTATGGTGTTAAATAACAATATCTTCATTTCTTTTGCATGAAATTTGACTTTTATATACTTAGTCTTCCCATGAAACACAACATTTTTTGTAATAGCAATTATTCATTTGTTACCAACAAACAAATCAGTAGTTAAATCTTGTACAAAAGTCAGTTCATTTAAAACCTTCCTCAACTATATGGCCTAATTTGTAGCTACATTGGTTGCAACATATTCTGCTTCTGAGTTGATTATGCTACAATGGTCTGCTTGTGAGAGTTACAAGAAAAAACACCATTGCCAAAAGAGAGAGAATATCTAGAAGTGCTTATGGAATCCTTCATGCTCCCTGCCCAACCACTATCAGAATATCCAATCAGCTTTAGCTTTTTCATTCTGCAAAAATAAATTCCATAACTCATATTACCTTTCAAGTATTTAAGGATACATTTTGCTACTATGAGACGAACATCAATAGGCTGTTGCATGAATCTTGACAGTAGGCTCACTAAATACATTAGCTCTAGTCGAGTGGAATAGATATACAATAAGTTTCCAATCAAACTACTGAAAATAGTAGGATCCTTCAGTGGACAAGCTTCATTAGCAGAAATCTTTTGATTCACAACAAAAAAAAGTAGCCATTGAATTACAATCAATCATGTGAAACTTTTTCCAAGATTTCTTTTCATAATGTCCTTGATATACAAAAATGCCTTTGTCAGTTTGACAAATTTGTATTCCAAGGAAATAACTCATCAAACCAAGATTAGATATGTTAAAAGTGCTTTACCATTTCTGACTTGGACTTGTGAATAACATTGTCATCTTTACCTGTTACCAGTAAATCATCAACATAAAGTGAAATAATTAACTGAGCTTCACCTTCAACTTTACAAACATACAAGGTTGCTTCATTAAGACTTTTTACAAATCCATGCTTCAACAAATAAGCTTCAATTTTACTGTACCATGAGCGAAGGGCTCGTTTCAAGCCATACAAAGGCTTAGGCGATCTGTAGACTTTATTGGAATCTGATTTCAATGGAAATCCTTTAGGTTGATTAACATAGAGTTCTTCTTGAAGTGTACCATTGAGAAAAGCAGACTTTACATATAAGTGAAACACTTTTCATCCAAATCTAGCAACTAAGGCATGTAACAATTGAATAATATCATATCGAGGAAATGGAGCAAGTTGGTCTGTCAACAAGAGACCATGTATGGTTATTGTTGATCAAACCCAATTCTTCCTACATTGTTGATCTTTATTCTTCAAAATTTGAAGTTTCATTGCATGAATTTGGTTCTATAGAAGCTACAAGATTGCTGTCATAAACTTTTTATACTACCCCTCATAGGAAAATCATCAACATTATCTTTATTAGACTCAATTTCAACCAAATCATGTTGATTTGCATAAGTTCTTTCATTACTGGGAAAGAAATCAAAGCTAATTGGTTGTTGTAAACTAATTCCACTTTGAACTTTCATCAAACACAGTGTTTTTACTGACCATAATCTTCTTAGATTCAATCAAATATACTCTATATCCTTTTGATTAAGAGTTATAACTAATGAAAATACCAAGTTGAGACATGCTCAAGTTATGCTCAAGTGCCGTATGATAATCTCTAAATACCTCAATTTTGTTCAATTTAGTTTCTGTACTATATATTTTTGTTTAATTTAATCCCTCAAGCGTAGCTCAAATTTTTTTTAAATTTTTTTCTTGATCTACCATGTCAACATTATCATATGGCACTACCACATCATGTCAATGTCATGTGGCACTACAACGTCAGCATGTCAAAGAGACATGGCAATCAAAAACTACCACGTCAACGTTAACATCGACGCTGACATCATCACCTCTAATAGTGAATTGGAAGGCGTAAGGGAAAATGACTAAATTATTTTAATTTTCAAAATCGAGAGACTAAATTAACCAAAATTTGAGAATAGTGATTAAATTGATAAAAATTTATGAATACAAGGACTATTTGCATGTGTTAACCTTATTTGAAAAAGTACAGGAGTCCAATTTCTAACTCATTGGCTAACAATTAAGAGAAAAAGGCTAAAAAATGCTAAAAGGTTTTGTGTTGTGGCAAAATGAGGGTAGCTCTAATCAAAAAGCTCATTTGGACTCATTTCAAATTGTATTTTAGTGAATTGGTGTCATTGGAAAAGGTTTAAAATTTTAATTTTATTGAATCCATTGAGCATCCACTAGTTATGACAAGATTATCTAAACGTCTATATAATTTTTTGCAATAAAATGATGTAGAAGAAATTTAGAGAATATTGAGAAAGGAAAGAAGGATTGTTGTTTGTTGTTTTTTGTGTGTTCTTACGAACTAAAAGAAAATCTTTTATAAGTACGGGTGACCGTTCCCAACATACACATTTGAAATAAACACAATTATCTGTTTCAAATAAGTACAGCTGTTGATGTTTGAACAGATATGATTTTTAGTTCAAACAGACATGATTGCTTGTTTCAAACAATCATAATTGCCTATTTTAAATAATCAGTTGGTGACATGACTTTTTGTTTTTAACAATTATGATTAGTTATCATTTCTGTAATTAAAAGATAAATTAAAATAATAAATATAATTTATTATTTAATTATCGATAGTGCCACATTTTCAAATATCAAGTGTCATTATAATATATTAAATATTATTAATTTAAGGTATAATATCTAAAAATCTCTCTAAACTATTCAAGAAAATTTAAATAAACTTTTATATTTTTATTGTGTTTAATCAAACTCTTGTATTTTTATTTTGAGTTAAATAAGATTTCCTGTACTTTTTATTTTAAATCAAATAAGCTCATATGACTAATGATTGATTTAATGAAAATATCATTTATCATTTTATGTCACGTGAGGTTGACGGGACATATTAACATATCATAATTAATGATAACCTGACATATTAATATTATATAATAACATTATCAATGACATTTTTCTCCTTTCACATTAGTGCCACGTTAGTATTATGTGAATATAAAATAAAAACTTATTTGACCTAAGAAAAATATAAGAACTTTATTAAATGCAATGAAAGAATAAGAGGTTATTGAATTTTTTTGAATAGTTTAAAGATTTTTTTTTGAGCATTATGCCTTAATTTAATTAATTTCCAAACCAACTAAGGCTAGCAAAGCCCATCTATGATCCATTTAACACTTTAAGCACTTTAGTCCAACTATTATGAACTCATCCTCCTCTTTATTTATTAAACTCTTCTTTATTTTATATTTCCAATGTAAAAGTGTGTCCTACATTTATTATTATTGAAAATGTCCAACATAAATTACCAAACAAATTTTTTTAAGAAAACTTTTACTAATATGGAAATCAAATCTCTAAATCCTATGGTTGTGGCAAATGACTTATATACGAAGGCTAGAATTTTAAAGTAAAATTATGGGGAAATTTGGCTAAAAAAATTGTTTGGGGAAATTTTTTACATTTTACGCAGAGATTTTTTTTTTTTGGATGTTTTTGAACGTTGATGATCAAGGAAAATGATAAAGGCAGTAGACTTCTCCTTTAGTTGATCTTATTTTATATAAGTAAAAGTTAAATTGTATTTCCATAAAGTTATCTAATAATTTATAATTAAGCATTCATCAAATAAAATTAAATCAATGTTTTCATTAACTATTACAATTAGAGTAAAAGTTCTTGTCGAATTGATTCAATTGTATGTAGGTCAATTGATCAAATGAGTTCAATTGAGACTCTATAGCTTGCCTGATTCGGAATAATCAGATGGCTTAATATTTGAAATGTGAAAAAATTGATGACTATCTAATTAAACTGAACCAATTTTTACAATTAAATAATTATTTAAAATTTTTTTATAAATGATAAATTTGATAATTAATATTTAATTAAAAAATTTATTTGATGAGTGACAATGCATAAAATTTATAAACTATCACTTAATCGCAGGTCATAAATGTGTATTAAAATCATTTTATAAATATTTTTTATCAATTTAATTTTTAATTTATTTATAAATAAAATGATAACATGTGGATCCTATATAAGGCATAAACTCTGGACTTGGACACCGGATCTAATCTGTACACTTATTAATTGAAAATAGGGAAAGCGGGAGATGTCATTAACACTTGAAAAGAAAAGATAAAGAGACAGAGAAATCAAGTGCAGCGTTGTGGTGACTGGTGAGTGGACGAGGATGGCTTTGCGGTGGCCAACGGCGGTGTCTTCCCTAAATTCTTCGCATGCAGAGGCAGTAGTTCCACAGTTGTCTTGCTCGAAAACCCTCTACCAATCGCAGCGAACCTTCACCTTTCCACCTAATTCTACGAGCCGTCTCTTCTTGCCTCTCCACAACTTGAGCTCTGCTGCTAGGATTGCCTCCTTTCGTTGCTTCTCTTCTGGTACTCCACCTGTCTCCCTCGTTTCTTAGAATTTTATATTTACCAAGTTAACCATTCCCAGGCAATCAATATATTTCTTTCTGTTTATTTTTTATTTTGTTTTTCAATGGTCAAATTCATATCACTTAATTTTTTAAAAAAATGGTTAAAGGTGGATCCAACTCAGACCCTTCGAGTTTTGAGAGGGATGCATACCATACCATACCATACAATACCATAGTTGCTCCTACTTTGCTTGGTTGACATGAATTATTCCTAGCGTAGCTTCAATTAGTGCTGCTCAGTTATTAGTTGATTTACGCACAAAAATTAAATTACGACCGGTGCATTACGGTTTAATTTTATGGACCTTTTTGTTCTTAACGCACACACATGTTTGTTTTGTCTGCAGCCTTAACTCCTGAGCTAAAGAATGCATTGGATAAAGTTGTTACATCAAACAAGGTGGTTCTTTTCATGAAGGGAACTAAGGATTTCCCACAATGTGGATTTTCAAATACTGTGGTGCAGATTTTGAATTCTTTGAATGTTCCTTTCGAAACAATAAACATACTAGACAATGAAATGCTTCGTCTGGGTTTGAAGGAGTATTCCAACTGGCCCACTTTTCCTCAACTTTATATTGAAGGAGAGTTTTTTGGTGGTTGCGATATCACAGTTGGTAAGGTTTTGTTAGTTTTCATTTTTAATTTCTCTTTGAAATCTGCTGCTACCATTTCCCGTTGTTGCTTGTAAATTCAAATGTTAACGCTCTAGTTTTAGGCAATCACATCCCATGGAGTATTTATCTCCCATTCCAAATTAAGTTTTACACTATGTTTGGTAGGATGGAAAATAGAGGGAAGGGAAAAACCTGAGGGAAGAAAAAAATGAAGGAGAGGGAAGAAAGTTTTTTTCCCTTCCTTTTGTTTGGTATGATAGATGGAAAATAGAGTGAAGGAAAGAGATTAGGGGTAAAATTGTATATAAAATGATGAACTTAATTAGAAAGAGTGTTTTCTTTCAAATGGAAAGGAAAAGTGCAAATGCATCCATTTTGCTTTCCTACTCTTATTTCCCTACAAAACAAAGCAAGGGAAGAAATGAAAACACTATTTTCCTTGCACTCCCTTTCCTTCCTTTCTCTTTTTCTCCTACTAAACATAGTGTTAGGGTTTATTTCAACATGTTTCTCTTTGGTCTATTTTGCTTCCACATGTTTTTAGTACTCTCTTCATATTTTCTGCTAACGCTTTATCTTTATGACATATGTATACACACATATACGCATACCCGAGCATACATGAGAGAACATGTGCCCAAAAACTTGCATGTACATATACACATTCATTAAAGATAGATAATGGCCTCAAGTTATTCTCTATCACTGATTAGAGTCTTATGCAATATCTTTCCAACGTGAAAGGATGAAAGAAAAAAAAGGTTTTGCATTGAGCAGGGGAGGTGGGGTGGGGAAGGATTGGGAATGAGAAGCTTTCCTTCTGGTCTTTGGTAGTGGAACAGCCTTCTCCTAATTTAAGCTAGAGATATATTAGCATTGGACCAATAATTAGGCAAGATTTACTATTATACTTTTTCTATGAAACTTCCATGCTGTTCAAAATATTCTGCTATGCATCAGTGTAGAATGACATTGTTTGGTTCCTGCAGACAGTTCAACTCCATCTTTTAGGAATAGATTTCTCCATATGAAGAAAATCTAAGTGAGCTTTGAAATGTTATTAAGTTGTCTTCTATAATAAGAAATTCATTTCATGAACATCTTCTATAAGTCTTACTCATGACCTGGAGTAAATGTGTTTGAAATAGTTTATATTTATTAGAGTGATTTGAAATAGTGAGAAAATGTGTTTTTAAGCATTTTTTGTTAGCGCAGTATGCTAGAATTGGAGCCAAGAGATTTAAATCCTGTGGCTTATGCTTCTTCCTTATCATAAAAATAAAATTGTTGTTCAAGAAACACACACACACAAAAAGAAGATTTGCTTGCACGCACAATTCTAATTCAGTAATGTAGTATAATGGTTTGATGTAGTGAGAAAATGTGTTTTTTAAACATTTTTGGTTAGTTCAATATGCTAGAATTGGAGTCATGAGATTTGAATTCTATGGCTTATGCTTCTTCCCTATGTTAAAAGTAAAATTGTTGTTCAAGGAATGATATATACATACAGACACACATGCTTACACACACGCGCACACGCACACACACCCACACACACACACACACACATATAGGAGATAGGCTTTTCAAACAAAATATATATATATAGAGAGAGAGAGGAGGGATCAAGTTACACCAATGTAAAACTACCAAGTTTTACACCCTTTTATAACTTTTTTTAAGAATAACTTTTCAAAAAACCAACTGTTGGATTTATCAATATCTTAATGCTTATTGTGCAGATAATTTTTAAGTCAATCTGATATTTATATCCCATTGACCGAAAATACCCTATTTTTGCACTATATATAACAGTTGAAATTTTTATATTTTCAAAAATTAGCTATGCTTTTTTAATTAATTTGAAATTTTATGTGCATGATCTATATATAAAGCATGAAATCTAACGGTTAACAAAATAAAAATCGTATAAAATAATATGAAAAGGTGTAAAGCGGAGCTAGTTTTATACTTGTGTAAGTGGATCTTTTGTCAAATATATATAATGGCGAAAAAGAAAGATTTTCTTGCATGCATAATTCTAGTGCAGTAATGTAATGCTATAACATGTGTAAACAACTCAGAAAGCTGAAACTGACAGGACCTAGTTGCTGGATTTCACCTTGTATGCCACAACTTGCAATTTCTGTTGTTAGTAACTGAGAAATTGGCTAAAGAAACATGTTTCTACGAGGCAGTAGGTGCAGGGTCTTCATCGTTTGAAGTAACACCCTTTGATGCGAGAATTGTAATGCAGAACATGATATAGATGTTTGTTATTTATAGCATCAATGATTGTTTCTCTGTTGGTGTCCATTGTGCCTCTCATCTGCATTTTCCCTCTGTTTATCTACACAATAGGTTCTAATTCTTTTCATAATTCACTTTATTTTATTTCTTTGATTTTTCTCTCTTGTGGTAGAAATTCATTTATAAGTCTAGTTTTTAACATTTGCATTGAGCAAGTGTCTTTATGAATCTATTTTTTTTTTCCTACAGAAGCTTTTAAAAATGGGCAATTGCAGGAACTATTGGAGAGGGCAATGTGCTCCTGATATTTATCTGAGTTGAAAAATTGTAGTATAGCTGCACTTGTTCAGAAATAGATGATAACTTATTGCTCTGGTTGGAGTGGGAAAACTTGTATAACTCGGCTGATCTTGTGGTTGTTTGTGTTGATCTTATATCAGAATTATACAATATGCTTGAAGCCTAAATCTGTCTCTTGTTTGCTTTTTGAAAAGCAAGATAAAGGAATTAAGAGAGGAAAACAATTGGGGCTGGTCTCTTTGAAATTTGAACGGCATATCTATCTCTTTACTTCTGCTAGGTTGCTAGTCATGCCATAACTTTGATTCAAAGCATGAATGTAGATTTGGTAAGGAAGTTTTAAACTTGAAAATTTTTGGAATGGGTTCCTGGCTTCAAAAACCTTATGCACATTAAAACTTCAAATGGTTGGCTGACATGATTATATAATAGGTAAAAATTCCGAATGCTTACAGCCATTACCGACTACCTGCATTCTTTTGTTCTGTGTGCAGGGAATTTCAAGGGGATAAACCTCTGGATTTTTGCAGGAGCTGGGGTTAGAACCCCAGCCCTACAAGAGTTCCAAGTTAGTGTTCTAAGTTTCCCCTCTCCCTGCTAGAGTTGTACCCTCAACTAGGTTTTGCGTCTGCTTATATGTGTTATAAGTTTAAATTTTCCTTTGGAAAGCGGAATATATGTGATTACTGTGTAGAGTTGGTTCAGAATACATGAAGCTTCACTGCCAAGTTGAGTTCATTGCTAGTTACCCTCCGAGTTTCAACTTCTAGTGACCTCTTTTTCTTGGGTAACTCATGATTAAAATTGAATAATTATAACATACTGCAGTAAAAGGAATTGTAATCGATATGAACCCAAAAAAATTACACGTAGAATTAAAGTTTTTGGACTCACAATCACTAATCATATAGAAAGAAGCCAAGAGATGATCGCTCGTCAAAGAAGAAATGCTTAACCTTGGAGATCCAACCAACGGTAAGGGAGGAATTTATAAAGTGTGCTCTTGCAAGGAAAATAGTCTTCCCTAAAAGGGAACCTAGTACTAGTGTAATGAAACAGTGCCCCAACATGTACTACTGATTTAAGCATCAGTGAGGATCCTGCCAGACCAACTTCGCCCACCCCGCCAACATTTGTTTTGCAGGAGCCCACCGGTCAACTTACTTGAATCTTGCTGATGATGATGATTTGAGTTCAGTTTTGTTATACAAATTTTACTTGCTTATTCTAATGATTATTCTCCAGGCTAATCCTTAATCTAAAAATCTAAAACAAATTGTAATTATAAACAAGATGATCATAAAAGAATATTAATTGCACGATAACATTTGATTCAATATTTCATCAAATCAAATTTATTATTTTTTTAAGATTTTAAAAAATATCATTTGATTTCTCAAAAAAGTAAGAATAATTTTTTATTGTTTAAAATCAAATAATCAATTATTGCTTATCCTAAAAGTAATAATATATTGAAGTTGAAGTTATATGAGGAATTGGGATTAAATAGTTGTTATTATTTTATTATTTTAGTTCACAATCTTTTTATTTTATTATTCATTAATTTTTTAAATTTATTTCAAAAACTGCAATTATTATTTCATAATAATTTTTCCTTTTTAATTTTGTTTCAAAACAGATTTAGAACAAATAACAATAACAAATTTTGTTGTTAAAAAAAATAATTAATAAAGGATGGAGCCCATTAAAAAAGCGCTGACACATTAATTAGTTGTATATGCGTTACATGGTAAACTTGCCATGTTTTACTGCAAAAGCACAGCACATTCAGCTTGTCACAAGACAAAACCGGTAAGCAAAAGGGGAGGCAATGATTGGGAGATTTCAATGAAGAGAAGTACAAAAGAAGGAAAACAAGAAGAAACACACAGAAAGACAGAGAAAGATGGGTTTGTCTCAAGACAATCTAAAAGGTGTTGTTTTGGCATTGTTGTCAAGTGGGTTTATTGGGGCAAGTTTTGTCATTAAAAAGAAAGGTCTTAGAAGAGCTGCTGCTGTTTCTGGTGTTAGAGCTGGTCTGTGTTTTTTTTTTTTTAATTTAGATTTATTGGTGTAATTTTGGGATGTTTATATTCTTTGATTCTTTGGTATTTGCAGGTTGTGGAGGATATGCTTATCTTTTGGAGCCTTTATGGTGGTTGGGCATGATCACAAGTATGTTGGGATCTTTCTTTCTTTTGTTGTTGTCTCTTCTCTGTAATTACTCTTCTGTTTTTTCCGCCATGATTAATCTCTCGTGTGTAATGTAATTTTCAACTTATCATTCTTTTTGTTACTATCAGAATTGCTGATCCTGATGAATTGTTGTATGAAATTTGAATTTGTGTTGTTATTTGTTGGAATTCTTTAATTTACGACAATTCTTAATGCTTTATATCGGATTCATATTCGACATTATAGTTCCTCTGATAATTATTTTGGTAGCATCAAAATGGTTGAAAATCTATCTCTTTCTTTTTCTTTTGGGGGGGTGGGAGGTGGGATGAGTTCTGGCAACTGATGCATTAATGTAGAATTTATGATGAAATTGCCTAAGCGACCATTGAAATAGATTGGTGGCATTTTGTCTCTAACTGATTGTTTGCAGAAAACCTTTCGTTGTATATATTTTGATGCAGTGATTGTTGGAGAGGTTGCAAACTTTGTGGCATATGCATTTGCTCCAGCAATTCTTGTTACTCCTCTCGGTGCATTAAGCATTATTGTCAGGTAATATCTCCTACTCCTAGTTCAGATGGTACTTCCTTCTAGGATCATATACTGAGTTCTTGTTTTCTTCGTTTTCTGCCTCCTTCCACTTGTGGTACTTGAATGGTTCTTAGTGCTGTCTTGGCTCAATTCATGTTGAAGGAGAAGTTACACCGGCTAGGGGTTTTAGGATGTGTTATGTGTATTTCGGGTTCAGTCGTAATTGTTATCCATGCACCACAAGAGAGCCCTATCACTTCTGTTCAGGAGATATGGACTATGGCTACACAATCAGGTCTTTCACCTTTCGATCATCTTTTTCTATTATCTAATTTTTTGTGTGTTAAACATGTGAATGACTCTATTTCCTTTCTATTTCAGCTTTTTTAGTGTATCTGGGCTCAGTTATTGTGTTGGTGTTCCTTTTAATCTTCCATTTTGTACCAAGATGTGGGCATACAAATGTGTTGGTTTTCACAGGCATTTGTTCATTAATGGGATCTCTCTCGGTACATCATTTGAACTACTGATGGATTTAAAGTTTATTTTGCTTCCTACCACAGGATTGATTCCTTTTTTCTTGTGTTGCCCAGTGTGAGAGTTTGAGTTGCGTTTCACTAAAACTTTTCAGAAGCTGCCTGAACTTATCTGAATTTAAAATAGGCGACATATAATCATTTTTGGAATTTAAAAGTCTTAAATGATGTGAAGTGTTTAGTCTTAAATATTTGAATTTCCTTGAAGTATTTCACCTCTGGAATGCTTTGATTCTTTGCTCAAGGTTGAAGACTTCAGTTGATGTGATTATTCAAGACATGTGATTGACAAAAGAAGAGTTCTTTGTAGATTAATCTGCCCTTCTTGTCTGTATAATCAGGACAGAAACTTCTCTTAATAGATATGTGGTATACCATAACTAATGTAAACTTCTGAGGGTTTCTCTTTTTTTTTTTTTTTGTGAGCTTAAATCCTATAAAAGCTCCTGTATTATGGCTATTAATTCAACTAAGCCCCTTACTTTTTATTGCATTCAAACAAGCCCTTAAACTTTGATTTAGGTCCAAACAAGACATTAATCCTCATGGAAATTTAACAGTCGTTAGACTCAATGCCAGCTGATTTTTTTGCCCACGTGACATATGACTTGATGAGCTGATGTGGCCACGTGGCAGCTGGCGTGACCAAATCATTGGATATTTTTACCATGTTAGCTCACTAGGTCATACGCCATGCGGACATAAGAGGCCAACTAGCATTGGGTGTAACAGATTTAAATTCCTGTTAAGGTTAAGGGCTCATTTGAATGTGATGAAGGTGAGAGGCTTAGTTGAATAAATAGCCATAATACAGGGGCTTTTTTAGGGTTTATGCCTTTTTTTTTTCCACATACACTTGTCTGCTTTGATAATTTCTTCTTCAAAAACTGGAACAGAGTAATTTATGATATTTTCTTTTGCATATGACACCTCAATGTGGTGTCTTATTTTATGAATATGTAACATATGCAGGTGATGAGTGTTAAAGCCCTTGGAACTGCACTCAAACTAACCTTTGAGGGAAAGAACCAACTATTCTACCCAGAGACATGGTTTTTTTTGTTCATTGTGGCTACATGTGTCATAACACAAATGAATTATCTCAATAAGGTAGGTATTTTTGGTGTTTGGATAAGTTATCTTACTTAGGTAGTTATATGGAGCCATCTGGAAATCCTAGTCTACAGTAGAATAGGTTTGAGATAAGGTTATAAAGTTAATGATTTAATAATTTACTAATTAACCAAGTTTTTATTAATTTAATGATTTGATATGTTTGTATTCAGTTAGAGTCAGTGGTGTGATGATAGGTTGAGGTAAGGGTATAAAGATGGGCTGCTTTATCTCATATGTATTAAAAAAAAAATCATTGTGTTGTATCTTCTTTTGTTACAAAAAGTTTTTGGTCAATAAATGAGTGTCTCAAATCTTTTGCTTGCTTCATTAGGAATGAAAATTTCTACAGGAGCAGTGTTCAGATTTGATTTGTGGAATTTTGAAGGATTTAGTCTGTGAAGGAAAGAACCATGTATTATTAATTTTCTCATGTCTCTCATATCTATAAGAAGTATTGCTATGGCTCCTCTGCTCTTCATCTTTATGCATAGTGGAGATGATCCTTCAGGATATTTAGTTGGGAAAAGGTTAAGTGACATACGTAAGTTTATGGTTTTGCAAATGTCTCTCTTGCTCTTTCTCTATAAGAATCATCATTTTTCATGAAAAACTTCTTTGCTATCTGTCACCTAGCTGTTTAATTTGCCTTGGTGGTGGCAGTGCTTTTAACTTTTAACATCTATATAGACAGTAAACTATCATTTACAAGGATGTTCTAGTTTCATAAGCTGGATCAAATAAGTCGGGATACGAATTGATGCTTTCAGATCCTTTTGACTTTTCGGTAAATAGTTTCCACTCTGAAAAATATTCTAATGTTTCAGGCACTTGATACATTCAACACTGCAGTTGTGTCCCCTATTTATTATGTTATGTTCACATCGCTTACAATTCTCGCCAGTGTCATAATGTTCAAGGTATTGTATCGTCAATCACTGGTTGCATATTGCTAAAAAGATTCTCATCTATGCCTAGTGAAGTTTCAGACATTTTGAAGATTAAAGTCCAGTTATCATGACTTAATGAATAGGCTGCAAGTGATGGACTAAACAAAACTGGCTTAGATAATCATTAAATTAGGTGTTCCATTCCTCCTTCTGTGAGTCCTGGCCCGCAAATTGAGGCTGGGGTTGGACAGAATTTAGAAGTAAAATTCATTTGCTTTGTCCAAAATAAAAATTAAAGATAAAATAAGAAAACTCCCTACCTGCAATGTTGTGGAACCCTAAAACATTTTGTTGTTTACCTGCCAATTTAAGCTGTTCCAAATTTAGGAGGACAGATTAGTACAACTTTGATCCCTTTTGAACCAATATTAGGGGTAGAAACATATTTTCATGAGTAGGTCTTCTGCTTTGGATGAATCAGCAATCTAATGTGCTTAGAACAAATAAATATTATATACAATTTTCAGGATTGGGATGGTCAAAGCATGGGAAGCATCGTATCTGAACTATGTGGCTTCATTGCTGTGCTTTCGGGGACCATTTTGTTGAACTCAACTAAAGACTCTGATAGAGGTTCATCCTTCAGAGGTGTGTAAAAATTCCATGTTCTGTTATCTTCAGCTTATCTGTCTTTTGGTTAAACCCCCTTATTGGATCTTAAATTATTTTAAATAATTGCAGGTGGCCATGCACCTCTATCCCCTACATTATCTACAGGACTTTTCAGTGGAAATGGTGAAACTCCAAAGCAAGATGAAGAAAATGTGCTATTGTCTGAGGAAATTTGCTTAAGGAAGCAAGAGCTGCTCTAAGATGGCTAATTAGTATATTATGAGAACACGTCTAACTTTCATGTGATCAAGGTGCAAGGTGGAATCCAGGTATCAAGAATCCTTAAAGGATATGCCGAGAGATGAGTTGCAGCATGAATTCAGGTGACATCAGGAAAGTGAGGGAAAAAGATTAACAGCTGGTTTGAATGTCATTGTTCATCATGTACGGTACCAGTTTACCAACTGATGCTTACTTCTGAGGCAACATGCTTTTAGAGTGAATCAGTGGTTGATGGTACTTGAAGGGGTTCAACTGATCAAATCAGCAGAAATGGGTGCTGAAGGTAGTATATGGTTCCCTCAAAAACTGAGGCCTGGATTTTTAGCAGGGGAAGTTTGACTGCTTTTATGTGAAATTGATAGTGTGGCATCAACCCTAGGGAAAATTTTGGACATTGTGTTGGACTTGTGGGGGTGCTTTCATTAGGAAGGGCAACCAAAAGAAAGTAATACTTGTGTAGTATACATATACATATATATATATATATATGAATTGTAGTGTCAGGTGAATTTACCTGAAAAAAAAACTGTTTTCATTTTATTTATGTTGGCATCTTCAAGTTCTCAAATTCACCTACTAAAATGTTTCAACATGTCATGGCATTTCCCCTCCCTGTACTAAAATGCTAACCATAGCCTTGCCCTTTAAAAATTGGTAGCCTTTCCTTTTCTCTTTTGACAACTATAAAGTTGGCAGTTTTGCTTTCCATTTCTTTCTTTTCCTTTTCTTCTAAAACAATTTAAATTTTACAAGCAACATTACAAGATTAACATATGCATATCCTATGAAGTGACATTTATGAACATTAATTAATTATTATGTATATATAATAATTATTTAATTCTATTTTAGTGTCTAAGACAATAATTCTTAAATCAAATAATTTTTATTTATAAAGAAATAGAGTGCTTAAATAAAAAAACAACATTATCCTTATATAGATTTTATATGTTATTACTGAATCAAATGCTACCACCTTTTTAATAAATAAGTTTCAAAATTAAAAATCTTAAAAAATAAATATTTAAAATTTTAAAAATATTTATTTTAAAAGACTTTTAAAATTGTTATTTATGACATAACATTTTATGATTAAACAATAGTGTATACATATACACAGATACTACATCAAATATAAATTTTAAAAAAATATAATAATTTTTCTTGAAAGATCAGCTTGTTTACATTCATTTTCAAATCATAGTTAAGTTTTTTTTTTTATTTTTTATTTAAAAAAATAATATGATATCCACATCATCTCATTAGTGAAAAGCCAAGCAATGAAAGACTTATTATTAAATATATTATTATGTAAGGAAGTGTACATTTTTATTATTAATAGATTTAAGATGAATTAAGATAATGTTCGAGAACATTTAACCTTTTATTAATGTATAATTTTATTAATTAATGAGACTTCTAATAAATTGAGGGTAAATATAAATTTATTTTCAAGAAAGAGACGCTCTTTTAGTATTACCAGACGCTGCCCTGTGGTTGAGTAACCGTCAATCTCTAGCAAAGCATAGAGTTTCCAATTTTGCAAAGAAGAAGGAACAGAAAGGAGGAGGAAGAAACCAACATTTTAGTAAAACAATGGAATCAAAGATAGGGAAATTCTTTGAGTCAGTTACCAGCTTCTTCTCCGCCTCAGATCCGCTTCCTTGGTGCGACGCTGACATTGTTGCTGTAAGTTCCCTTCTCCCCCTCATATTTTCTTTATTTCAGATTTTCGTATTTGGGTTTCTTTCTTTTTCTATTCTCTTTCTTCAGAACCCAGTTTCCCTGCTTTCTGAAATGCAAAAACCAATAAAATCTTTGGAAGAATGAGAAGGGAAAGTGCGTAGCCTGGGTTCTTTGGATTGCTTTTCTATTTAGCCTTTTGGGTTTTCTTCTTGGTTTGATCTTCAATGTATTTTGTCTTTACTTGTCAAATCCTTTTTTTTCTTTGGTAAGTTATTCTGGAATGAAGAACTTTGCAATTGTGATTTAATTACATATAAACAAGCAACTGTAATGGAATAAACCTGTAGTAATCTTTACTTTTTGATTTTTAGATGATGCTTAATATCCTTTAGTAAGAATCACAGTCTTGTGTCAAACTCCTTTTGGTACGAAGCTTATGCTATTCTGTCTAGCAGTTTACAACATAAAGTTGTGGGCTTCTTGATTCTCTAATTAGTAGCTTAACAGAATCGCTGCTACATAAGGCAACTCATATACTGATTTCTTTCATGGTTCCCTGAGTGATTATGATATATATGCCTACAACAAACACCTCCACTAGCCTTTCTCCTACCCTTCACCTTTCTTTCCCCTTTCTGCTTTGCATGGTTAGAAGCAAGCATCTGGCTATGAAGGGATTCTTGTAATTTAGGGAGACGAGTATGTGTTGAAAAAGGGAGGAGGGTCTGAAATACTGGAGGCTTCTTGTAGATGTGTGTCAGTGTGTGTTTTTCTAGAGTATTCCCTTGCATGTTGGTGTGGTAACATATTCTTCCAGTGTGGTCAATGTGAGTGCATAGGTGCCTAGGTGAAGCACTAGATAGTATGAGTGCATTGCCACCTCCACGTGAGGTGGCTTGATTGCATTTCATGCCTTTGGACCAAGCCACAACTTTTTGAAAGGGATGGGCACTCCTCATTGACACCTTCCTTTATTTTCTGCAATTGGGGATGGGTTTCCTCCATGCATTTGGAAAAAAAGGTTGCTCTTTGTATCATTAAGCTTCCTCTATTGAAATGAAGGAGATTTGGAGTTAAGGGTCAAATGTGGACTTCTAATTACTTTAGGATACTCTTGAGCTTTGTATTACATTAGGCAATAGAATGGACTTAAGGAGTCAACTTTTGGAAAGCTTATTTGGTATATTTCATTGTAGATACATGAAAAGATGCATATAACTATTCTTTTTTAAAAATTTCACTAACATTTCTTTAATAGCATGCCGAGAGATGGAGTGAAAGATTAACAAAGACATTGGTACAAACTATAATCTATAGCCCAAGAATCAACTTTTACTGAGTTTTCTTGGGATTAGTCTTGAGTAGCAACATAGTGGGCCATTTCTTCTTGTAGTTGTCCTTAACTAACACTTTGCTTTACTTGGGTGATTGCTTTTTGCCTTGTGACTTGGGTAATACAAGGGTCCTAGAGCCTTGAGTGCTCTTTTTCCTTTGACTTCTATGGTTCATTTATTAAAATAGTGTTATCTCGATCATCCTTTAACTCAGATACGAGTGTCAGGCATGGATATATGTTCAATATAGGTGTGCTTCACTAATAAATTTTAATCTTTGCAAGTTTTTCCTTGTATTTGGAGAGTCATGCCCTCATATCATATTTATTTTAATGTGCTCCATATGTGTCATGGAGAGTTTGGTGTAACTTACGTTTATTTAATCTTGAATACCTCCTTTTTGAAAATAACTGATGTATGATATCAGCTGTGTGATAATTGCTAGCAAACCAGAAAGTACTCTTTCTGTTTTATTTTTGGTTTCAGTTGTATTTAGCATCTAGTGATTTTATTTCGAAACCTTTGAATTGTATAGACTTGGAATGCCGTTTGGATGTGTAATTCCTGGTTGTTTTTTCTTCTTCTCCTTCAAAATTTTTAATATATAACTTAGCAAAAAAGTGCTGCTAATGGTTGAACCAATAAAAAAGGTTCATCACAATTTGGTTCATGATGCTTGAACTGTGTGATGGTTTGGCTGTTTCTTAGATGCTTCTGGCTTCTTCATCCTAAATATGAGGCACCATATATTCATGTTTACCACATTAAATTGTTTTATATATATTCTTTTCTTCTTGCATGGGATGATTAGGTGGTGAATCGAGTCAACTTGAAAATAACACTTAGAACCTTAATTTGTAGTTGGATGAGTTGACACCCAACTATCCTGGCTTTATATACTGGTAAAGATTATAGACATTGATTTAATCTATTCATTTTTTACTTTAAAATAATTTTCAGGGCTATGAAAAGGAGGCTGCTGAGGCAGAAAAAGGTTCTGCTGAGTTGAAAAATGAATATAGTATGTGTTTTTCATGGGCTCTTGTTCACTCAAGACGAGCAGAAGATGTGCAACGTGGGATAGCTATGCTTGAAGGTGAAACTGAGTTTCTCTCTCCTTGTCACCCCATTTGAGATCTTTCGCTGAATATCATCTACCTGCCTGACTAGGTAAGATTAAAGCATTTTCTATTTGCAGCTTTATTGGACAGCACTACTAGTCCATTGAAAATGAGAGAGAAGCTTTATCTTCTGGCTGTTGGATATTTTCGAAGCGGTGACTATCCAAAGAGCAGGGAGATTGTGGAGCACTGTTTAAAGGTTGATATTCATTATTATTCAACACTCCTGCTCCAGATATTATGGCATTTCTTATTGGTGGAATATGCTGCATTATTTTGTATTATATACCTCCGACCTATTTTCATCATCCCCTGAATAATTGGTTTTGTTAAAAATGTTGTATTCCTAGAGAAAAATAATCTATGTGGAAACTGCATGATCCTTGTCTATTTATTTGTAGAAACACTTTTGAAGGGAAGTTTGTTCTCTGTATATCCATATATCAATAGGTTTTTTCATTGAATTTGGCAGATGGAACCTGATCGGAGGCAGGCACAATCTCTTAAAAAGGCAATTGAAAACCGGGTTACAAAAGGTAAATTACGTACCTATGATTCGTGGTTTCTCCCTCATCATTGATCTGTACTTAGCTGATGTGACAACTTTCCTTTAAATTTCTGTACAGATGGTGTCATTGGCATAGGTATTGCTGTTACTGCTGCAGGGCTGATTGCTGGTGGCATTGCTGCAGCTTTAGCACGGAAGAACTAACCTATCCATCTGATACGTATGAGAAATCTTTCTGCTTGAACATTTTCTGTGAAGAAAGGAAAAGAAATGCTACCTGAGTGCATTTTTTCTCTCATGTTTCGGATATTGCCGTACAGAAAAGAAAATTGTTAAAAATGCTTCTCTTGAAAACATATTTGTTGTCTTCTCAGACTGAATGTATGAGTGCTTTTTCAAAAGTAGTTCATTGATCTCCTGGTTTTTCAATATAACATTAAAAATATATTGAAGAAATGATATTATATAAAAATTAACAATAAAAAATATAAGTATATTAAATTTGTATTTTACTAATATTATCATTAGTAATGGTTGAAGCATTTTTGATGAAATGTTTCGTCAAAAAAGGGCATAAAAAACCATAAAAATTTAATTAAATATTTTAGTTATTATTAAAATTTATAAGTTAGATATATCTTTATACATTTTGAAAGTATATAATCGTTGCTTCATATTATAAATATGTCTCATATCATTGAATTGAAATTTATAAAATAAATCGAGTAATAGTATAAGAATGAGTAATTACAAGTTTATATGTTGTAGATATGTATAAAGAATCAAATTGCATTCGAAATACATATATAGATGTAATTTCTACCATGGAAAGTAATCACCTGATTTCTGAATACCTTTAATTATTCATGTCTGATTGAGTAGGAAGCTGCTTGCTCTTCCAAATGAACATAGTCTCTTGCACCAGAGATCTGCCAAATATAATGCATTTTTTTTTTGGTTGTAAATGACAATCATTCCATAAATGCATTTTTCAAATAATTTAAATGCTATCTACATCTTTGGCTGTGTAATTACTATTGAACTAAACTTACGTTTCTATAATGTTTAATTTGATCATTTCTTTTCCAACGGGTCGGGAGTGTGCTACCCAAAACAATGATTCAACTCCTTTCTTTTTACTTTTCAATATATTATTAATCATATGCCTGATTTTCATGATTCATATTTACATGTAAATATATGAATAATGATTAAGTGTGTATTAAAAGGATATAAATAAAAGACAAAATATCTAAATGTCAAAATAAATAGATTTTCATTTTAAGTTATTTTAAAAATAAAAATGGATAAGGTCTTTGTCTAAATTTTTAATACTAAAGTTCGAATCTCTTTTTTTTTTTAAATATAAAAAAAAAAAAAATCAATTTTTTGAGAGCCAATAAATAAAACAATCTATTAGAGAAGAAGTTGGGTGAATAAGTACATACCATTCCCCGGATGTTGTGTAAAGTGGTATTAAGGTCACCTTCCCAGCAACTTCGATCCTTTTCCTCTGTCAACCAAACTTTGTGTAGCTTTGGTGTGCTTAACTCTCCCCAATGGAAATATCTCAGATTTGGGCACATCTTCCAGAGATGGAAACTTCAAGGCAGAACTCCCTGAACTGAAATGTAGGAGGCTAGGTAACCCATTTAGCTCTAAACATACAAGTTTGCTGAAAATAATTTCCTTTGGTGTTTCTTCTTCTCCTTCTTCTTCTTCATCTACAATAATTTCTGTCACCTTATTGCATTCTCTTATACTCATTCTGGCCAGTTGCACTAGACTTTTGGCTGTAGAGTATGCAATTATGTTCTCCGGCCCATGGCAATTCCATACATCTAAAGTTGTGAGATATGAGAAAGATGAAGCTGATGGTGCCAAATTAACCAAATAGCTACAATGCCAAATAACTAGAGCTTCAAGATGGGGAAGAACCAGGTCTGCTCTGGAGCTTGGCTGCCATATATGACTCAGATTAGGGAGAGAGACCAACTTCAAGCGTCGAACTCTGGCAAGGGTCCTGGGATGGTTCTCCTCATCCTCTACTTCTCCAGATGGAAATAGCTCTCGAAATTTACAGCAACCAATGTCAAGCTTCTCCAAATTGGTGAATTTTTGGATGAAACGAAAGGGAAATATGGCTGAATCCTGATGATAGCAGTGCACTTGCAGAACTTTTATCTTGCTAAACAGGTTAGCTGGAAAGACTTCATGACTTAAAATTGAGATGTCATTGCTGTTCAATGAAAGTTCCTCCAAGTTGGGAACAACCTGAAAGTACATGAAAAGAAAACTAGTCAATGCTATATGCTAGGCTAGATTAGTCTCAATAATGCGAGGCCTCCATGAGTTTCTGCACAGATTTTTTTAGTCTGAACATAATAGATATGTTACCTTTTCTACTAAGAAGAGTGACTGCGAAACCCTCGACGTTTTCTCAATGATGAGAAGTTCTGAAGCGAACATCTGCAAATCACCATGATGGTAGGACACAAATTTTTTCAACGCCAGCCATTCTGTAGAATGCATTCCAGGGTAGAACCTTTTGAGTTTGTATAGGTTCCAAAGTCGAAGGAAGGATAATTTAGTAAACAGAAATCTAGTTTCTGGTTGAGGAGTTTCATCCTTAGCAACGATCTCTTCCACTGCACAATTGTCTATCTCAACCTTTTCAAGTTGCTGAAGGCCTCTCGCAACTGAGGCTGGAAATAGATATTTCAGACTCTGACATCCAAAAGCATATACGAAATTCAGATTCTGAAAAGTGACAGTTCCCTGGGGGTCCTCACTCCACACATGTTTCAACTTTGGTAAATTGTACATGTACAATTTCTTTAATGGAACTGCTGCCTCAGCCTCGGTTTCTCCAACATAGAGCAACTGGACTTCAAATACTTCTTCCAATGAACCAGCATCATTTATTACGAGCGTCTCCAACGTTTGAAGCCTTCTGACCATACTGAATGGAAAAATGGTCTGTAGCTTTTCACAGTATGCAACTTCCATTGTCTTGAGTTTGCAGAAGGAATCTTCAGGTAATTGATTATTCCACATCATAGTCAAGCTTTTTAGGTGGGAGATCGTCATATTCTCCAAGCTAGGAAATGCTACCTGTATAATTAAGACCATTGAGTAATTAGCATACATATAAGTAAAGGATTATTTTATATACTAAGCAATTCTAGTAAAGACGGTAGAAAATGGCAAACAATAAATGAACCACCTTTTCATTGAAGAGAGGTTGAATGCCTGAGACCATTTCTTGACGTTCTTTCAGGGCTCTCATTTCATATTTCACAAATTTGGAGACAAACGTCTCTAGTTTAGGGCAATGCTCTATTTGCAATTGTTTCAAAGATGGGAACTCGACACCCTTTCCTGAGCAAAATCTGGTCAGCTTCAGAAGACCTTTCATCTTTAGGGAGTTAAGTTTGGGGAATGATATTTCCTCCATCCCTTCCTCCCCTGTCATATCTTCGATGATCTCCTCTATTAGCTTGCATTCACTTATTTCTAGGTGGATCAGCTGCTTTAGATTCTTCACCATAGAGGATGATAGAAGAAATTTTAAATTACCACAAGCCTCCACTGTCATGGTAGTTAAATTCTGAAAGCAACTAGCTACTGACAAAAGCTGAGTGTACCATATCTGTGATGTGCTAATTGAGGACAATTTCAAGTCCTGTAAATTAGGAAATGTGACCTGTAAAAATGTATATGCTTTTTCAATTCAGTGAACCTCTTAATCTTGATGAAAAGACGAAACAAATGCAGAGCTACTTAGATATCTAGGATTTAACATCCCAATGTAAATGATAAGCACCATAAAGAAGGAAAAGGGATGAAATTTCCTCAAAAATTTAAGCTTTTAATTTAAGATTGCTATCTCTAAACTGTAGGAAGAGGGCCATGATATGAAAGCATGATACATAACGTAGAGCAAGGACCTTGGATTCTGCTTTTTGACTTTTGTCTAAAATATATAGAAAACAATAGAAGAAAGAAAAGGAGAAGAAGTACCCTCTGGTTGAAGAGTGCCATGGCACTGCTGCTTGTATTGAAACTGATGAGCTTTGGTACTTGTTTCAGTGTCAACAATTGCAATTGCCTGAACTCAATTTTGGTTGTTGCTCCATTCTCACCAATATCACTTTCTCCTCCCTCCGCAATGATCTCCACCATGTTCTTACAATCAACCATTTCAATTTCTTGAAGTTGTAAAAGGCCTCTGGCAACGGAGAATGAAAATATATTCTTCAATCTATGGCAACTCCTCACTTTGACCACTCTTAACTTTTCGAAAGGTTGTTTTTTGAGCTGGCCATTACATATCTTCTCCAAGTTAATCAAATTTTGAAGACACAAGGACTCCAAGACGGGAAAGGCATCAAGAGTACGTGCCTCAATTGAGTTAATGATGTGCTTCATTTCCGAACCATTTTGGACATGGAGATGCTTCAGTTGTGGAAAGCCTTTCCCAGTATGATCTAATTCATATAAAACATTCCTAACATACTTCAATTCATCTAAATACAGATCTTCTGTTTTCTTAAGCAGCATTTGAACCCCATAATTGATATGAATGCTTTCGTTGAGCTAGAGCTTCAACATTCTTGAGGTTTCATGCTTGTCTGACCAATCCCACATTTCTCCTATTAATATCCTGAATCTTTGCAGCTTCTCGGAGAACAATTCCTTTGGCATATTACGAGAATCAGGAATCTGCAAGTTTAAACTTGTCAGACAAGGCAAGTGCTTCAACTCACCAAGACTAGCATGGCCTGTTGCTCTTTGCTCATCCTCCCACCGAGCAAAGCTGTTACCTATATACAGTTCTTCTAGTTGGGACAAGTTTGATATTACATTTGGTGGAATTACTCTAAGTTCGGAGCAACTATCCAAGTTTAACAACCTAAGCTGAGTCAATTGCCCTATTTCTTCAGGCAACTCTTCTATAATGGAGCTGTACAAGCTAAGGATTCCAAGTTTCTTCAGCTTCCCCACCATTGATATGTCTTGCAACAAGCATGACTCCAAGCATAATGTTAGAAGGTCTTCCAACAAGCCAAGTGATGAAGGCAATGACAAAAGCTGCAAACCTTTCAGATCCAAAACTTCCAATGCTTTTGTCCTCATGAAAAACTGATCAGGAATTTTCAAAGCAGAATTCTTGTTGTAAAGTTGAAAATATTTAAGTTGTGGACATTCAAGCTCATCAGGAAGGTTGATGAAATCATTGTAAATCAGTGAGATTGCAGAGCATTTTTTTAGCATACCTGCATCTGGCAACTCTCTTGGTCCTATTTCATTTCTCATAAAAAACATATGCCTGTCCCTGGATGCTATTGAAGCAGCAATATTGTGAATCACATCATGCATTGTAAATTCCTCACCCATACTACCATCAAGCAATAAACTGGAGGATTTGAGGGCTTGTATCAGTCTTTGTAGTCTCTGGCGTGCTTCCTCCATTGTTTTTTTACCTTGAAGCAAACCCAAAGCCATACCATATTTTAACAAGTCAAAAATGGTAGCATTGTATGGCATAAGACTACAAAGCAAGAAAGCAGATTTAAGGTCTTCATGTGCTAAATGATTGAAACTCAACTCAATAGCTGAGCGAGGGTCTGCTGGCATTGTTTGCGAAGGACTTTTTAGCTGTTTCAAAGCATTTTCTCATTCAGGGGGAGTTCTATTTTTCAAGGCTTTTGCAGTTGGTACAATGGCAATTGGCAATCCCGCGCATCTCCTACATACATCAATGGCTTTAGATTGTACATGGGGATTTTCCACAATATCACCAGCCATTTCCTTGAATAGGTTCCAGGCTTCTGCTTCTTTTAAAACATCAACTCGAAAGTGTCTTTCAGCATGCATTCCATGTAAGACATCGGGATCTCTAGATGTTATGAGCACCTTGCACCCTCTATGCTCGTGATCTCCAAAGGCAATTCCAACGTCATCCAAATTCGAACTCGTCCAAATATCATCTAAAATCACCAGAATTTTGTTCTCTTTCCTCAATCTTATGCTTAGCCTAATGGCTCGCCCAGCTACTGACTCCTCATCAAATTTGAGACCAAGAAAGTCTGCAATCTCTCCTTGAATTTTCCTAACATCTGGCGTCTTAGTTGCAACTGCTAAAGCCACCACATCAAACAACTTGTCTGCCTTTGCTTCTTTAGCAACTTGTTTGACAAGTGTGGTCTTGCCAACGCCAGGTTTGCCATACACTCCAATCCTCTCCAAATTAGCATCTTTCAAAGCCCCCAAAATCTCATTCAACATTAACTTTCTTGATTCCAAGGCCACGTAACTCTTGGATGATGGATCCCATATCTCTTGCGGATCAAAAGGGTGAGAAACTTTGCCATGGATTTTACCTTCTTCCTCAAGGAGTTTAACAATGGCCCCCGCCTGCTCGTCTGCTTTCTTGCTGAGCTCATAACGGGACTTCAAATTAGGACACAAGCCAAAGAAACACTGGGCCTTGTCTTTAGTTGGTTCCCCTTCAACTTCGGAGCCGTTCTCTGGCTCCTGAGCGATCTTACTAGCCCGATCCTGCCAGTTCTCGACATTCTGTAGAATTTTTTCACCCTTTCTTGTGGCAGCATTCACAGAAGACTGCACCCTCTCCCTTGCAGCTATCAGGTCCTGAACTTTGAGCTCCAGATTCTGAGCCTTGCTCTTATAGCGAAAGATGTAACCAGTTTGACGTATAATGCAATTCCAGCTAAAGTCAACAACTTTGCCAGCTATGGCAGTAACCAAATCCATTTTTTCTTTTCTTTATTTCCTTTTCAATAACCACAAACAATTGATGAGAAGAAACCAAGAAAAGGACCACAGAAACAATGGGAAGAAGAAGAAACAATTTTTCTTTCCTTTTTTGGCGGAAGTGAAATGATCAATACAATAGAACTTCTTTTTTTTTTGTTTTGGAGATAAAGATTAAAACACAACAACAGGCTTTTTTTTGTTTTGTTTTGTTTTCAGTGCAATGATCAGACAGCAAAGAAATAGAAACGAAAATGGAAGATGCCAAACTGTAGTAATTAGGCTGCCTTTGTGGAGCTTTATATGACTGAAAGTTCCAAGGGAAAGATAATGGGCAACCATTATTCTTCTCTTTCACTCTGATCAAAGTTAAACTGCCCATTATTCTTTTCTTGCTCTTAATTTGATCTTTGCGAGGGACAGATGAATTGATAAGGTAATCCATTGCTTTTTCATAAAGCATCCCATTTCATTGCTGTCAAATATCTAAGTTTTTTTTTTTTTTAAGATTCATGTGTGTGCTTTCTTTATTCTTTTCTTCTCAATTCTTTTGATTTGATGCTAATTATTTTGTTTCTTGCTCCTACTTTGATACTTGAGCAGTGCCCTACAAGTCTAAGTCCAAATTAAAGCAGGTCTTTCCTTTAGGATAATACGTCTCCCCCTACTTTGTTGAGACCACTTAGGCAATAGTTTTGCCACTTACAAGTAGCCATTTTCCTGTGCTTGCTTGCATGCAAACAATGAATTCAGCATTGTATCAAGTGGTATCTCTATCCTATTAATATTTTATCGTGACAATTTTAAATCTCGCGCTGAAAATTTTTAAAAATTAATTATTATATGTATATAAAAGGTTGAATTCATATGTAAAAATTTTATTCTTATTTATAACGATTTCTATGACCTAAACTATTATAAAATCTATCGAATCAAAATGGATAATATCTTGCTCATTGATTGAGGTCGTTACACAGAATAAAAAATGGATAATCTAACAATTTCAAATTATGTCATACACCCATTTTGTAAATTTTGTGTACCTTGATTTTCTTATCATATATTGCTGAAGCTGCTTAGATCCATCTGTTGAGCAATCCATAAATGAAATTTGTTGCCATTTGGTTGCTGTTTGAGCCAATAGCTTATTTGTGTGTGTTTTGACTTGAATGCCCGGCTTCTTGCAGCAGAATCACTTGTACTCTTTACTATAAGCCTTAACCTTGTATAGACATGCTTTTAATGAGTCATAATTAGCAGTTAGTGCAATTAAATGTTGGAATTGATTTTCCGCGAAAACAATCGGTAAAGTTACATTCATGAGGCATCGGTTTTAATATTACCTTGCTGGTGAAGATTGCTAACCACCCTCGAAGCCTCAAGCTTCTTCCTTTTTGTACGACTATTTATACTATGATGTTCAAGGGGGCTGCATTCATTCTGTAACCACTATTCAATTATACGCTAGTCAGCTCCCGGTCATATACTGTCAGAATCAGTAAATTAGACAAAAGGACAATAGTTTCGTTAAGAACAGATGTAATTGGTTGTAGTTTAACCACCTCTTCTTCATATTTCCTCAAGGCCAACAATCACTTCTCATCAAAGGGGTCATGGTCATGGAGCTTCCATGGCAGTAACATAATGATCAGAGCCCGAATCTAAAAACAACCTGCACAACTTTGCGACAAGAAAGGGTACTAATAAAAAGATGTCTCTCACTAATACCTTAATAATAAAAGGATGAGCACAATAGCGAGGAGCAATACTCCAAGAAGTTAAATATAAACCAAAAAAGCCGCACTTGAAAACTAAGCAATCACCACTTAGAGACACCATACATGAAAAACAGGATGACGGGTATCAGACAAACAACTAAAAGTCCATAATTTCAGTAAATTTCAAGCACCAAATCTCCAAATCCCTTGTTATAAATCCTTCCTCACAATACAGCACAAGAAGTTAGTATCTTCTCCTAGGACTCCTGGAGCGATGTGTCCGTCCAGACCTGCAAAATTTAGAAGGTAAAGGATTTTGTTAGCTCCAAGTACTGCACTTTTTCGCACATACATAAAGAGAGAACAGATAAGCTGCAATACATTTAACAGATAAATCAAAATTCAAAAGCATATTCATAGAGACAAACCTCATAATTTTTCTTTTGAAGCCTCCAGTACTGGGTCCATTGCTAAAGGCCCAATCAACATTGATAGTCTGTGTAAGGAGTTCTGCTCCATCCATTGCAGATATAGCATTCTTTGCTTCTTCAAACTTTTCATATTCAATCAGTGCATATCCCTAAATGGAAGCACTCACATTAATTTTACTCACACAAAAATATACAATAATAAGAAACTATTGTAAAAGAAGGCAAAAGTTTGTTTTCTTATCCTCAATCACTGCTGTAAAAAAAAAGATATTGAAATGTGTCGAACCAACATTAAAAACATAAAATGGTTAAGCAACACTAAATTGCTATATAACCGAATGCACATTCTCTAATACGTATGCAAAACACACAAAAAAATGTTAAACATGCAGACGTAGGTAGCCAAAACATTTCCAATACACACACAAACACATGCATAAATATAAAATGCGCAACGTGAATAGGTCCATCAGCAAAAAGAAAACTTAACAGTACACCATTTGCACAAAGCAATAGCCATAAAGAGAGTTATACCAATTTACTAAGTTGCCTACCTTGACAAATCCAGTCCGACGATCAAGATTTAAATGCAAATTCTTGATCTCACCAAATTCACCAAATGCATTGTGCAAATCATCCTCCTGTGCTTCCTCATGTACACCATTGACCAAAATAATCCATCCTTCAATAGCTGCACATTTATTAATGAGAAATAAAAGAAAATATTACTATTGAGAAAAAAAAGTCTACAAACATAGAGGAAATTTTTTTTTCATTCTTCCACAAAAATGCTTTTATCTACTGTACTCTATAAGTTGAGTTAAATTCACATTATCTAGGAAAACAAGGGATGTCCCAAAATGGTCACAAACCTTGAAAATAGCTGGATAGACTAAAGGTTAAGTTTCAACTATATAATATAAAATGTTAACGCACTCAATTGGGTGGTTGAAACATGGCCAAACAGGCAATAGCAGTCCTTAAAGAAAAGCATATGGCTTTAAACCTCATCAACAATGAAATTGGAATCTTTTTCTTTTTCTTTGGTTGGGCTTGTTGTCCTTGATAGAAGGGAATTTCCCATATCCCCTCCATGATGTCCCAACCATATTCTGAAGACAGGAAAACAGGATTAAACCCTGTTCCATACTTTTGATAATGGAACAAGATGAACCTCAACAATCAGCCAAGAATACAGATCCACTTAATGCTTCAACAGAATTTCCTCTGAAATCATAGAGGAGATTTCTATAAGATGTTAAATGATTTTTATTGAATTTTGTGTCCCGTGCATCACATGGCTTTAAAACTAGTTTCTATAAGAGCAGAAAAAGGCGACGACAGTCAGGAATTTCCTCTTATTCCTATTACAATTTCCCCTTACACTTTGGAATACTATTTAGCAAACTTCATTTCCTAAGCCTTATCTCTTTTTCTTCTCAACTTGAAAACTGAATTACCTATTTTAAGTCCTACTCTAGAAGAACATACATAGTTCCTCAATAAACGATTTTAACTTTGTGCCTCAATATTTCAAAAAAAAAAACTTTGTGCCTCAAAACTTATTACAAATGGACTATGTCCAAACACCAAGCCTCAAAATTGCCTCTCTTCCATCCAACTTTAGAAATATTAACCATCCACAACTGACAGACAAGTGCAGAAAGTTACATACCTTAAACCTAATGATACTACATCTTACAATTTGTGGGATGCATTTACACTATGGACCTCAAAATTCATGAAGCATCTGCCATTGGACTTGTTCTAGTCTCATAAAACACCTGAACATATTATACCTCTTCACTCAAGATATCTACTGAGAAATGTAATAAAGCAGTCCTCTTAATCAAGGGTCTCTATAAAGCATAATAGTTAGAATATATCCATATTAGTCTTTTGAACTATTTAGTTATGAATTAAGTTTAACTTGAAACTGTAAGCAAATAAAGAACATAAGAAATATTAACACTATATTCCGAGAGTAAAGATATTCAATATTACCCCAAAAAAATCAGAACCCTACTCAAGATTTAACGTTAAGCCAAAACTACCAAAATTGCCAACTAATTTCCATCCATATTTATTCTAAAATTATTTAGCAAATTTCACATAGCAATAATAGGGACAGTTTTGACAAAAAATAAAAATAGAAAACCCCTAGATAAAATAAAAGAAAACAGCGTAAATAAACGGAGAGAGAAAAAAATTAGGGTTTAGGGGAGGGACTAACATCTCTGGGGACCGGGGCCGCCGTCAGTGCCAAGAGACTCAAAGTCGCGGGAGGCCAGACGGGAGTGGCGGTCGGCGTCGTCCTCGCGGAAGCCACGGCCCTTGGTCTTCTTAGGGCCAGAAATAGAGGTGGAAGCGCCGCCAGTGATGGCGGACTTGAGCTTAGGCATAGGGGCCTGAGGGGAGGCGTCGCCTGCCGCGTCCTCGTCCATGAGGTCATCGTCCTCCGGCTCAAAATCCACGGCCTCCACGTCAGCACTCGCCATCACGTGATCTCAACGTGCCAACCTTCTCCTATTTACCTAAAGAAAACGAGAATTTCTTTTGACCTCTCTGATTCGAAAATTCGCGAGTGTGGGGTGGAGAGGTTTAAGCTGATTGAGGCTTTTATATGGGATAGATAGATATCTGACCAGCTAACTTTTAACTGAATGTATGTTACATTTTACTTTCTATTATTATGATTTTATTACTGAATTTGGATCTGAGCCTACAGCTGCACCATGAAAACATATGGGCCTGCTCTTCCATTTTCTTTCAGAAGCCTGGGCTCTACACCCATCTACCACTGTTCATTGGATCTATTGGGACCAAACTGGGGAGTTTGCTCATGGTAGGGGTCAAGGGAGGCTTGGGCCGGGATTAACCTTTTGAGAGTTAAGCCGAGGCCGCCTTGGCTTTCGCACTTTATTAGTAATATTAATATTAATATTAGTACTTTAATTGTGTTTCACAATTATATTTAATTAAAAATAAATACGAACAATTCTAAGTAATTATTTTTTAGTTAGAATTATCGTTTTAGGGGAGCTTCCTTGAGTCATTTGAGCTGGCCAAGTTATTGTTTCTCTATTGATTATGAGAACTAGCTTGCTTGCTTTCGCATCCTTTTTATATTTGAAGAAGGATCTATGCTCATCTGTAGTTTTGCATCAAGTTGATTGATCCAAAGAATGCCACGTGGTTCTTGGTGATCGGCTATTGGAATTGGGAAAAAGAAAAACTTGAAAGACAAAATGACTTTATATTCAGAAGACAGCATGCTAAGTTATTATTATTGAAAATCAATGCAGCCAACATTTATTGTGGATTTGCTTAATTTCTATATAAACCCCAAAGCAAGACATGGGTCTATGAACTAAACTACCAGATGATCTAAAGCATAATTAATTAGGCTTATGGAAGTTCAGTAATTAGTAAAAATCTAACTTAACTACTAATTAAATTGTAGAGGTTAATAATATCACTCAGCCCCTAATAAGGCTAGAAGAAAGGCCTTGTAGTCCCCGGAACTATCTCTACCAACCGCAGCATCAAGGGATACATTGTTTCTCTTCAGGTACAGCTCCTTAATCTCCTTCAGGTCCTTCTCTGCGCGAGTTATGATCACACGACTGAGAGCATCTTCGTCTGTTCCTGGCATATTGATGGCAGTTCGCAACACCTACATTAAGAAATCCATGAATTCTGAATCATTGTTTTTAAGCTATAAAAAGATCGACGTGTGCTGATGCCTTTGATGGCAAAGGGTTTTTTTGGGTGAAAATGGTCTAGGGGTGTGTCTCACCTTTGCATAATACTTTTTAGGGTCTCTAATGCAACGGACCACAGTACGCAATGCAGAGAAATAATCATCACTTGGACCACCCAACAAACCCTTCAAAACATGACAAATAATATATACAAGATCAATGCACAAAATAGAAACATTGAGGATTTGAGTTAAGAACAGCATGAGTTCAAACGTGAGGAATCACATCCCTGGTTCTCATGCTTGCAAATCTTCTAGTATTTTCAGATTAGGCGTTTGTACCTTTGTGATGGAACGACCATGGATGTCTTTGTAGAGGTTGAATGTTGCATTGAGCTGCGCTTTGCTCCTAGTACTCAAGATTCTGATCATTTCCTCATGGTTAAAAGCCTTTTCATGGATTTCTTTATGGAGAACACTAGCTTCAGAATGTGCAACTGTCTCATCGAACTCATCACCATCGTACCTATAAGCACTTGTTACAGCAACCAGAAGCTGCATGACAACCAACAAATCAAATTAAAAATCATGCCATAAAAGATATACGATGAGGCTTAAGCTACCAGCAGTCAACAGAAGAAGCCCCTTTGCTCAAGATAAGGGAAACAGTGTGCCTTGAAAGCCATACTTTTCGAATATCACCAGAGGTGCAAGAAGCCAGGTCTTCTTCAAGGGAACGCTTGTAGCGAAATTTGTAAGCACGTTTCACGGCCAGGAGATCTTCAGGGGATCCGGTACATGCTATTTCAACAATTGCTCTGCAATCAGGAGTAGTTTTCTGCAAGGCCTCGTAGGCTAAGAGAGCATCTCGGTCAGCAGGATCCAAAGTCCACAGGCTTATAGCTCTCTGTATTGCATGACAATAAAAACAAAAACAAAAACATGTTGCTTTGTTGGAAAATAGATGTCCAAAGGATAATTTTCTGTAGTGAACAAAATTTTCATGTTGTTGATTGTTGATGTATACAAAACCTGGAAGTCCCCAGACAGCTCACACTTAAGCTGCTGGAGGAGATCTTCATGATAAATTTCTTCAAAAGCTAGTCTGATGAGCTTCTTTTGAAACAGATTTCGATGTCCTAGTATCGAAATTATGGCCTTCTCATCTGTTCCCCATCCTGAAAAATTATCCCAGTGAGATCAAAACGCAGGCAAAGACATAATTATGTCTTCAGAAAACTACATACATAGATTCCAAACCTTGACAAGCCTTCTTGATATTTTCTGCATCTTCAACAGGAGAAAATTGCTTTGGTGAAATAATTGTAGCCATTTTTGTGCGTTTTTCTATCTTACTGATGTAGTTTCACTGCTTCATTCATTCATTTATAGTGGCCAAGCAAATCAATGCTACTGTTACAGAAATAAAAGCATTGTGGTTTCATAATATTATTTACTACTAGTTCCGTTAACAATATTAAATGCACAGTTTTTTGTCCATTGAATTTTGAAATGCTTACATTTGCCAATACACTTGTAACAGCAATTCTTGGACCAATTGTTAAATTTATCAGACTCAGGAGGTTTAATTCAATAAACTTGTAGCTTGATCATAACTAAGCCTTGGAACATACTAGTTAATTACTGTATCCCATATTGAATTGAATTGATCACAGGAAAAACTGGCAGAATGCCAAAATGCAGAAAAGTATCTAGGCTCTAGCTTAAGATGTCTTGGTTAAAGAGATCTTGCTTCACTCATCCAAGTATTATCGGATGGTTGTCTCCCAGAGCTGATGTACGAGTTGGTAGAGAGCTTACTAATTCTTTCCAGAGCCCAAATTATGACTCGATTATATACGGAGATACCAATTAAGCGATCAATCACTTTGAATTTGGGTCATTTTTGGTTTTGATTTTTCCAGTCATCTTGAACTCCAATCATTTCTTTTGGAGTCATTTCAGGTTAATTTAAGTAAATCGAACAGACTGAGACATTGAGTGAGTCTTTCATCCTTGGGGCCAGGCAGGTTCGAACTATTGAGCTCGAATAAAATCGGATTGGTGCAGGTTTCAATTCAAAAATGTGCTGGTTCTCTACATCCAAACTATGACAACTTAGCACAAACAGAAATTGTACAATTTGAAGGGTCTCAATCTTTTCCTAGACGCAAATAAAAGCAAATATTGGCTCTGTATAAAATTAGAAAATAACTTGCACAGCTACACCAGGAGGAAGTTCTGTTCATGCAATCCCATTGTCTTTGTGTTCTGAATTCTCACTTCTAATCTTGTAGAACTCCAACATTTCTTCTTCCAATGGATGAGTCGTGCCTACTATGACAAGGCAATGGAGAGGTTTGCCAAAATCAACCATAAGGAGTTGTCTCATTGTGCCTGCAACTATCATCTGATCCTCACTTCCCAGCCGAGCAATCCCAACACAAGCAGTGTCTTCATCATATGCTACAAGTCAATTCATAAACAGAAAATGCTTAGAAGAACCATTCATTCATACATTTTTTTCTTATTTCCATTAATGTCGGTAAGGAAAAAAAGAAAAGTAGCATCTTTCCAAGCATACTGCAGCATACCTGAGAAATACTAGCTCCAAAACATAAAAATCCCGGGACATATTACATCAGTCATATCCAAAACAGATATGCAAAATTGATTAGATCCCGCCAAGTAGGCCATTCATAAAGAGCAAGACAAAAGAAGGGGATAAAATGTGGGGTAGTGCGTGAGGAAGAGGGACAGAGATACCTTCCTACTAGAGAAAAGCTTATTTAGATGGCATGATATCTGTATGCCAAACATTAATCTATATTATGCAATATAAATAGCGTCAATAACAGTCACTCTCCTCAAGCACTTTCGACAACAATAAGATAACCAATGACCATATTCCCCTAGTTATCAAAAAATGTAAATGATTTTGCAGGTGCAAACCATGTTGTGATGTCAGAAAGGAGTTACTGGGAACAGGCATGATAATGTTTTACTAGAAACTCTTTTTTTTATTATAGGAGATTAATTGCAATTGCAGATAAGGAGCAAGAGTGGAAATGCTCATGAGCCATGGGTTTCAGATCCAACTAGAACGCAATAGGATTTTGGACAAAGGCATCACATGATGTTCCCTATTGCAAGGCCCACATCCTAGGTTTTTTAGTTCAAATCTGACACATGAACCAAGTTGAATAATTGATTTGCATTGTGTCATCAATATACAGAGCAAATACAAGGAGATCCTTTGAAAGCATCCCCAATGGGAACACCCCAATGCAAAGAACTTGATATTTTCAACTTGACCAATCTTAACTTCAAATATTAGGGAGGAGGGAGGGCTTTACAAGATGAGAAATGGCTACCTTCTATTGTGTAGCCCAAGGGCCAAAACTCCAGAGGCTTTCACATGTATTAGATAACTAAAAAAGAATATCTACGACAGTAGTACAAAGTCCACATTTCTATATTCCCCTTAATGAATCTCCTCCAGCACAGGTACACGAAAGCATCATTTGGTAAAAGATATTATTGACATGTTTTATTGTAATTGACTATACATATAAAAGAGGGTTACATACATTAAATCCAACATCCTTGTAGATTCAAAATGTGGAAAAGCATATATAAGGAAGAAATATATGAAAACTTTAAAGATAGTAAAAGTTGTTGAACCTCACCAGATTCACCATGCTTTTGCTCGACCTCCAGGAGCTGCTCAATGGCAGTGTTTATTGTCATGTACCTAGGTGGTTCATACTGCTTTCTTCCCCTGAAAATATTAGAGGCAAAACCAGGAAAAATAATCAGTCAAAGCAATGGCAGAACTGTCATACTGTACAGAGCAAAAACAGTTCAAACTACAACTTCTTATACAGACCTGCACAAAGATTCCAATGTTGGTTCCTTTACACGAATATCTGTATGAGCCAAAGAATAAATCAATTTAAGACTCCTGAATCAGACAGAATATACAACAATGACCCATAACTTCACACCACAGATGTACTAAGTTTAAAAGGCCTATTATTTGAGTCTCTACGGAATCACTGACAAAAAAAATACTCGGATCCATAAAGAAATGAAAATAAGATGTGCATCCTCATGCTATGCTCTGAAAAATATTTGAGCTTATCATCAGCTAGTTCTAGTTAGCTGCTATTCTCACTGTAACCACTCCAAATACTCTTATATAAGAAAAATAAGCTCATTTCCTCACTGCCTGATCATCAAAGGTTATGAAGGTCTTTGCAGATTTAATTAAACAGAAGCACACTCAGCTCCATAAGTAGAGCATGCACAAGAACAGCATACTAACAAAAAATGAGAAAATCCTTAAAAGGTGATTTATGTACAAAAGAACCTCACCTAACAGGCAGAGTGTATGCAATCCAATATTGCGATTTCTTTGAATTTTCTCATAAAAGCTATCAGGCCTCCATGTTTCGGTAAAAAAAGGTATTGAAACTGTCTCCCCATAACGGTAGAGTTGCAATCCACAAATTCCAATTGCATTCATCACAGATGCATTGTGCACTACCTTGACATCAACCCCCAATGTCTTTGCTCGAACAACAAGATCAGTGTGTGTTGTTGCTCTGCAATTTTCCCAATCAAAAGACTAATGAGAAAGAGAAAAAACTCATAAAAAGATTTTCATGTGAACAAAGACTATCAACGTAGTTGAAGCTCAACGCACATAGAATCTCCAAGGAAAGAAAAGGACCACGATTACATTCCCACACAGCAGCCTCAATCCTAATTCTTCAATTAAATATAGTTTCATCCAGATTCCAAACCTTAACTGAGTTATTTAGCAGTGGTGTTTCAAATCTTAAGACTTCATCCAAATAGAATAACTAGAGATGGAAAGAGGAAAATTGAAATAGAAGAATGACATTAACTAAGTCTGTGAAGAAAGATTGGCCAACAGATTTGAATAGCTCATTAAACTGAATTACAATAGGACTGATATAGAAGAAGGTCCCATGTAGAATAAAAATTCCAATGGAAGTAGTCAGGCACTCCTACTTTAATTTAGATACTTGGCCGCATGCATGAGAAATTTAAGCCCAGATTGCAGGCTTCCTAGAAAAAAAAACCTAACAAAACAACTCCATGATTTAAACAGCATTAATATCTTAAGTATTTGATGAAAACAAACATTTTACAAATAAAAAGCAATCATGTGCATATATAAATAGAATATAAAAAGAAATTAGCGAAAAAGAAAACTAAAATTAATGAGAGCACATAAAATACTTTACCAAAGAAAAAATAAAGAAAGAAAATCTGGTAATACCCAAAAGGATCACCAACAACAAGGAAAGCCACATCAGACCCACGAGCTTCTGACAGAATATTGTCTACTTTTTCTTCAACCATTTCTCTATCTGCAATGATAATTGGTTTCCCATACAATTTCTCCTGACATTTTTAAATATACTAGCACAAATGAAAATTCCAAGAATTGAAAGATAGCGAAGTTATCAGGAATAGAAAGAATATATGCAGTACCAGAGTGGAAAGGCCATCTGTAGAAAGACCAAAGCATAGAAGAGATGTATAGGCCTCCATGTACAACTTCTCACATTTTTTCACTGCCTCTAATCCTCTTAAAGTAATGTCTCTCTCGTCCCCCAATCCAAGACCTATAATGTATAACATCTCTATCTGCTAACCTGGCTTAATGGTCAAAAGAAAGTACAAGAATCAAACTATTGGCACTGGTGTTTGGTACATCAAAATATTTCGAGGATACGACATAGATGAATTTATCACAAGTGATAAACTGATCTATCAACTTGATTCCTACACTTACAAATTTCATACTGAAACCTACTTTACCATAAAATTTGAAAAGATAAAACAACTTGAAGTTTTAAATTGTCAATCCAATTAGTCTAAGAATCAAAATAGAAACGAAACTGCTCCCACAACGTTTTGACACAAAACTCAACTCCAATAGTTTTAATACCTCTTAAGCCTAAAAGTAGTGTTTCCTCATAGCTAAAATCACCACCACCACCACCAATTTGCCTCAACAAACCCACCAAAAAACCACGGTTTCCTACTGCAGAAACATCAATCATCTCCTAAACAACCCCAAATTAAGCAATCGAACAAAAACTTCCAAACAAGAAAACTCATAAACAACTTAACCCATCAGTGACAACAGCAAGTAAGTCCTTAATATGAACTTTTAAGTTATTCTTTCAAGGGAAAAAAATGGGTCTCCAGTTTTTGGTTCTAGAAGCTCAAATGTTTCGTCTTAAAGAGAGGTTCATAGGAAACAAAAAACATTAAAAAAAAAAGTTGTCATTT